GACGAAGGGGAATCCCAGTAGACGCCGTGTAAAGCAAAGGATGTCGATTGGCGACAAGCCGTTTTTATGCAGGAAGTAAAAGTAATAACCAGAATGAAATGGGCAAGGTGCAGGTGTTATGGTAGGTAGGTGCGAGAGGCGTAAAGGGTCGTGCTGAAAACATAAGGAAACCAACAACGATGCGCTGGCGTGTGTAGAACTAGCGGAGCGGCTGCTTTTCACGCAGCCAACTCCTTCCCAGTCCGGAACCGCCTCATGGAGAGGACGACGCAACCACGGATCATTGCTTAAGCAACGGGAGCGATGGGTGCAACAGCGGGCGCGGCGATGCCAGCGGCGGCATTCATGTCAACGTCGTTGGGAATCTCGCCATTCGCGTTCTTCTGGGGGCAATCGCGCGAGATGTGGCCAGCCTCGCCGCACTGGTAGCAAGTCTTGCCAGCAGTGTTCAAAGGACCGCCGTTGGGCGCGGTGCAGTCACGAGAGATGTGGCCGAGCTTGCCACAAGCGTAGCACTTCATGGCCTGAGCCTGGCAATCCCTCGCGAAGTGGTTAGGGCCTCCGCACTTGTAGCAGGTGGCGGGGCGGGGACCACCAGCGAAACCGCCACGTCCGTAGCCGCCGAAAGCACCACGAGGAACGGGGGCGCCACGTCCGATGCCGACGCCGGCAGGGTTGGGGCAGGCACGCTTTTTTAATTTCAACGTCAGCTTCTCATCGACGGCGATTACGCAAGATTGCTTACAGCGAGGTGACCGGGCTGGCCGCAGTTATAGCAGCGGCCACTGGTGCCAGCGCCGCTCAAGCGCAGGGTAGGGCAGTCGGCCTGGACGTGACCGAGGCCCTGGCAATGGTAGCACTGCTTGGCCTCGGTGGTGCGGGGCAGCGGGCAGCCGTTGGACTCATGGCCGGGTTGCTTGCCTGACATTGAGAGTCAGAAATTCTTCCAATGTTGACCGATCTTTGGGGATAGAACTCACAGTTGTAGCAAAGACGCTCAGCTGACGAGCAAACCTCAGCGTAGTGGCCAACATTGCCGCACTTGTAGCACGCGCGACGGGAGAGGGAAGACATCTTGCAGTCTGGTGTAAAGCTATCAGAGAAGGAAGGTTAGTCGATTTACTCTTGGCTAGATTTGTGCTCGTTGTAGCGGTTTATTGAGGAAATCCAGCTTGTCGGATGGTGTTGCAGCGGAAGTATTCGTCTCCAAGGTCCCTGATGTGCAATCCTCTTCGGCTGGAATATCCGGCAATAGGGTACACAGTTGCGCTGGGAGCTCAGATCTTGGGCAGTGATGACACGCGAGTTTCTGATGCCTCGTTCCGTCCATTTTCTTTATAGATTTGCTTAAGTAGACCCATGCCAATCACCCGGGACTTGGTTTGTGGTCGACGCGCGCAAAGAGAGAGATCTTTGCCAATGCGAAGGATGCCGTTGGGAGTGAACCTGCGAACGCAAGGGCGCAAATGACGCAGGCTTCGGTCTCATCGTGGTCTGGCGCTGTTTGTTGCCGGCTTGCGATTGAGGGATTATCGCAAGTGATCCACCGAGGGCTTTTCGGGAGGAGGCGCATCGGGGCGAGATCGAGTGTGGGGGATTGAGGTGGCGCGCAGGAGTAACGCAACAGTCGCAGCGCCAACGATATGAATAGCCAATTGAGTCCGGTGGACTATCGGATCAATGTAGCAGCAGGTAGGCTCCAGAGACCACGATCTGTGAAGTTGGGATCGCAGCTTGACGTGCGAACCCGACAGAACGGGTGTCTTGGCAAGAAGACGAGGATTGCGGTCGTTAAAAGTAGTGGTGGGCCAGAGACCAAAGCAACAGGCGGGGTTGGCGCATTTCCGCGGGTCGCATAGCGAGATGCGCAATGCGTGCGGGACCAAGGAAGAAGCGATCGCATCTTCAGTGTGGCAGTCTCCCAAGTTTCTTCGTGGGGGGGCAGAGAGATGAGATGCGGCAGGACTATCGTGATCGTTCCCGTTGCGTTGGGTGGGCGCATTCTGGTGAGGCTGATGGCGAATGCTGCTGTGGCAGGCTGGCCCTCGTCGACCGTGTCGCATTGGGTTGGCAGAAAGAGACGTTTGCGACGGCACGCTGGGCTGGCTGGGCAGGGAAGGCAAGATGAGGGGTAGATTGAGGGAAAAGGCACAGAGAGAGAGACAGAGGGAGACAAGGACAGAGAGGTGCTGGGGGCAATGCTGATGCGATGGATGCAGGTACAATCGAGGGCGAAACTCACCTTTTCGCGAAAAATTGCCTTTGGGAAAATTCGGGAACAGTTCGTTTCCACGAAGGTTGCTGTTGTTAATGGGCAAAAAAAATAATAATGTGTGAGGAAAGAGGGGTCTGGTCCTTTCTAGTAGCGAAGAAAAAAGGACGGGACACGGCTGGGCTGGCTGGACCTGACCTGTGACTGCGGCTGTGACCCAACGGGGGACTAGACCAGACTGGACTGCTTAGGTAGGTAAGTAGGTAAGTAAGGTAAGTAGCGAAGGTAGGTAGTATGGATGCAGGTAGGTTGCCCGCTGGTTTGATGGCGGATGACGGAATGTTGCTTCCGGGGTAGGAGGCCGAGGGACTGGGGACTCCCAGGACTGCCGGGCAGGACTGACTGACTGACTGACTGACTAGGTGACTGGGGACCTGAACGGGGCTGGCTACCTCAGTCACAGTGAGGAGGGGGGGGAACTAAAGTGGCTACGGATGCCTCGAGATAAAACTAAGGGTAAAAGGTATTTGTCTCAAGTCCTGCTGAAGGGGTGAGATGTTGCAGAGAATAAGCAAGCGCACTCGGTCAGTACCTTACTTACCTTAGGTACTTGCCTACGTGCCTGCCTAATTACCTACTACTTACGCTGTAGGCAAGCTGGACAACACGGAGGATGACGGGCGGGGTGGGAGGGCGAAGCGCGAGCTTTCTGTTTCTCTTCCTTCCCTTCTCGTCTCGCGGGTAAGGTGTCCAACAATCCCCAATACCAAGAGCAGTCATCACCCGGTTCTAAAGTCATCTAAAGTCACCACCAACCCCTCCATCGCCTCGCCCGCCATCAGTCAGTCAGTGACTGCAGTAGCGTGCATAGGAGGAGGAAGCCTGCTCATGGATGTCGACCGGAAAGGAAAGGCGAGGCCAGGACAGGGCCAGGATGTGTACAGTTTGGGGTGAGAGTTGAACAGGCCGGGCTGGCTGGCTACCTGAGCCATCGGGATGGATGGCAGCGTTTGTAGCAGGGGTTCGAGGCAAGGAAAAACTTCCTCGTCAGAGACCTGAAGACTTGTGAAGCAAGCTCCCACTGGCTTCTATTCACCTCTGCTTTCCTCCTCTCCCCTCTCCTGCCCTTCTTCCAAGTTCTGCGAAGGCAAGGCATGCACCTGCGTCTGGTCTGCGTCTGCGCCTGCGCCTGCACCTCACCTGCATCTGCCCCTCTTGCACCTGCAGCAGCACATTACTGAGGTAAGTCATCACTTTTTCCTACGAATACCCGCTCGGCCTTATGTCCCCCTTGTCATGTGTGTGGCCGTGTCGTGTTGGAACTTTGACCCTCCTGCGTGTCTGTCTCAGTGACCTCCTCCCAGTTTCTCTACTGTCAATGGCAGTACCGGGGCCCTTGAGTGCTTGTCGTGCGCTGGATACACGGAAGCAACCTTCAAGGAACGGATCAACTGGGTCGTTGACGACGTCAAAAGGTGGGAAGGCGGGGAAACATGGCGCCAGGGGCGGCGGGGCCAAGTATCGCAACGGTACCCCCGACTCTCCCGCTTTCCGCTTCCCGCTCACGCCCGGCCTCGGTCTTCAACCTACCTTACGGATACCTTACCTCTTTACTATGTACATTACTTACATATTCACAATTCACTACCAGCTCAGTTGTCACTGCTCTTTCAACACACTGCAGCCGCGATCCATCATCCCACCAAGTCCTCCAAACACCCCACGCGCTGACGCCCTTCTAAGCGAGCTAAATTAGTCCCTACCTTATGTAATATATACTCAAGGCACCTTCCATACTTAACATACGCTCCCGCTGTATGTTCGGCTCAGCAAACCTCACATCGCGTAGCCGCAATTCCTGAGCGCAGACAGATACTCATTCCCACCTCTCGCAGCACAAAACCTGAGCCGTTGAAAGTATTTATCCATGTAGCGTGGCGTGCCGTGGCTTAGCGTGCCTGACCCAAACGCATGTCTGTGTGACTGGCGCTGCACCGTCGGGTGTCTCTCTTTTCTGGCCCCCAGGTTGCCTGCCCGTCTCTTTTCCCCGCGCCATTGGATGTTCATCATTTCCTGCTCCACTACGCACCCAAGCACGCGGCAGCTGGAGAGCAAAATGGGTGTCCAATAGGCCAGCCTATTCCTGTACCTCCAACGCTAGCAATTAATAGATCTCTATCTATCTAGGGTGGACTGGTGGCCGTCTTGCTTATTTTTGCATACACACACAGCTGTATTTACCCGTACAGCGGAGAACGAACACCTACTAGCAGTAGAACTACGAATCGTTGGTGTAACTCCCCATGCCTTTCTTCGACCGTACCTCCGTTGTACTCACACGCTTTATCGCGGCAAAGCAGGGAGAGCCTCTTTTGTGCCAATGATGCACATCCCGACAGTCCGCACACCCGCCAGCCCAACTAATGCTGTGGAACCAGCCCTGCAAAGCGCGACCTTTCCTCATGGCTCCTCTCGTGACGCCTTCAGCTTGTGAAACACCCGCTTGTATTGGAAATGAGCTGTATCCCATCGCTCGATTATCTTAAAATGCCATGCGGAGGTACTACTAGTGCGGTCCCAGTCGACTCGCTCTGTCTCCCTGAGCAGTATAAAATGACTGCGAGACACTTATGATGACATGCTTCAGGTCCTCCCGTTCAGTGGCGTTTTCACGCACTGGCGAGACGTGCCTCTACCGAAACTCCCTTAACGTCGCTAGCCGCGCTCCCATTGTACAATAATATCACACATAAGGTTTCTTATGTCTTTCCTGACCACGTAGATGGGATCACCATGGGCCTCGTCGTTCATTCATCCGCCCAACCTCAGAGGGGTGTGGTGGGAGGACTTCGGTCATTCCTGGCGCCATTGACCGGGGCCGAGCATCTACAACGTAGCTGACACCGTCTTCCGATGCATACGATGGTGGTCGTGGCCCGCTGCCAACCTCCCTAGAGTTCGACGGGCTGCCATTTGATGTCGCATTGGGATTGCGTTGCCAGTATATCCTATTGGGATCCACCCGCTGTATCCTCTTGTTAGTTGGAAATGATTGGAAACATCCATGCTGCGGGCACGTACCACACTCTCTCTCCAGAGGCCGTAGGCTGGCGGCTTCGCTTTGGCTGCATCGCTTATCTCGCCCTCCTCCTCTTCGTCACGGGCCAACACCACTCTGATCGGTTCCCGTGGGACAGCGTACCCTCCTGGAGCAACAAGCTGCGGCATTGGCGGCCTAGCCTCGTCGTCCGATCGCGGTCGAATGACGAGCATGCATAAGCGAATCAAGCCGTGGCAGAAAAAGATCGTCGTGAAGAGAATGATGAGTATGAGAAGTACCGTGAACTCGCTACTGCGGATGTTCTGTGTGAGAGACAGGGCAAGGTCTACGGGGTCAGTTAGGCTTTCCCAACAGCAGCACAAGGCATTACTCACAAACGGCTAATAACAGGGCGAGAAACGTGCCTGAAATAAAGCACCGAAGGATTTGCGATCGCATGCGCCGCGACTTCACCCATGGCAGGCAAAGCAGGAACCTTTTCGGGTGTCCCTCGTTGTTGTCTTGGTTTCGCTGCCTCCGTCGTCTGCGCCGCCTTCCCTCCTGTGCCATCTGTGCCAGATGCATCTCTGCAGGATCTGGCCCAGTAAACCTTCTTGTCAGTCTGCGGGAATGTGATCGAGCATGCTGGGCAACCGGAGATGGCATCGCTACAGGAATCTGCGTAGCTCCCGCTCTGCTCATATACGGTCCGGTAAGCGGATCGGTCGCCGCTCGACTTGGCAGTGGTTGTCCTGAGCTAGGCCGCGAGTTCGGGCCGTTGGAACCACTCGTCCATGTCCTCGCAAGATGCGGAAGATTCAGTCGAGTGCTTGGGAGTGTTGGGAGGCCTATATTGAAGCGCGGAGTCTTGGGACTGTCATCCTCGCCATCGTCGAGGCGCTGCATTCTGCCGCCGGGATGTCTTCTTGAGGACAGAGCAGGCCGTGTTCCAGGGAGTCGCCTCGGTCGAGATCGCGAATCCTCCTGCATTTCAGGCTGTGTTGATGGTCCAGCCCAGGCCTGTTGCTCAATATCTGGTCCATTCGAGGACCGTCCGCGTCGCAGAAAGTCCATACTGGAGGGTCGAAGCTGATATGCACCTCCCGATTGAACGTTAAGAGTTAACTTCGCAGTTACCGCCGTTCAAGGTTCGTCATGCTTCGGCGGGGAGGATAGCGAGAAGCGCGAGTCGGCGCTGTGTGTTTCGCACTCCTCGTGCGGAGGCTGTCGACGCTGCCACAGATAATACTGCGACGAGGGGGATCCTTTATTGTAGACGGAGCAAATGGCGAGTCAGCGTCTCTCAGAGGTACGATATTGATGACCGTCTCGTTGAAGAATCTTTGTAGGTGCGGTCACGACCGGCTTAAACAATGCCCAATAGTTAGGAGAAGAAAGTTGTGAAGGAAACAACGGATTGAGAGGGTGCTGGTGTGTCGGAAGTTCCAAGGGAGGACTGCCGGCGACTCAACGGCCTCGATCAAGGAATTCGACGGCTGAAGGGAGGGACATTCGCAACCGAGAAAGATGGGAAGCAGAGAAAGTGTCCAGGAGGACAACGCTGGCGGCGCAGTTTAGCTTCCAGAGCCTGCACAGTGATGGCCAGTTGAAATAAAAGATGGATTGGGAGGTAGATGAGAGAACGTAAACAAATGCTCAATGAAAAGAAAAGGATGAAAAGGAAGCCTGATGGGCGCCTGGCGCCGCCAACATGACGCTGAGTGAGGCAATTGATGAAGAGAAGACGGAAGAGCTGGAAAAGAAAGGGAGATTGAGACGAGGAATAAGGTGAGGTGAACAAGGGACTGCCAGTCAGGCGTTGTTTCTCGGTGCGTCTGACTTTGTGTAAGTGGAGGTATGTAGGTACGCCAGCCGGACGGACAGCCAACAGTTCGGTTCGCTAGGGGAGTTCGAGGCAAGGCACAAGCCGGCAAGTATTGGTAGGGTCTTGTCGACTATTGGAACGGAGGAGAAGGTCGGCCAAGATCGCGAGTGTTACTGGACAGACCAGAAAAAGAAACTGCGGCCGCAGACTCGGGGCACACAGACAGCTGTGACCAGTCTCATGGCAGGGCACCTGGGATTCTGCGACATGGAAGGGCAGAAAAAGAGGAAGAAGCGACCCTAGGTGACGAGGAGGTGCAAATACGGACGAAAAACAGGAGGAAACGTGCAGCTTCTGCGGCGTGGAGGACGGGAACATGTTGCAGCGCAATTGGACCCTTGCGCTGGCGAGGCTCAATTTCATCCGTGCCTCTCGCAGTGTCCCGGGCTCCCACTGGGCTCCTGCACAGCTCCTGCACAGAAGAAGAGATGGATTCGCCGTCACTTGTCGACTTCTGTGACAGCTCGAGTGTTGCATAATCGCCCAGGGGTAACCACCACAGGGGTCTTATTGGAGATGGAGAACACCAGATGTTTCGGATTGCACAGTTGCGAGGCGCTAAGCCGTTTCTGGTCTGCCGCCGTCCACAACCTAACCCAATAGTCACAACCGACAGTCGGTCCCGGGTTTAGGTAAAAGCGCAGGGTAACTTGGTTCCATTAGTATTTTCGCAGGGTACTGGCCCGTGGACAGAGATTAGCCAGCCAAAGGCCTTTGATTCGCCGACGGGCCCACTCCTACGGCGCTTACCTCAGTTACACAGGCAAGCGCAAGGCGTACAAGTCAGGCGCGACAGGCAAGCGCAAAAAAGCAGACGCGAGTAAAGAGCAGGCGCGAGTAGGCAGGCGCGAGAAGGCAGGCGTAGAGGGCAAGTACAGCGTAAAGGGCAAGTGCGGCGTAGAGGGCAAGTGTAAGGTAGAGGGCAGTAATAGGAAGGAGGCGACTACGGTTGCAGGGCTCTGATTGGTTCGAAAAGCCGCGCCCGCGCCCTGCGCTTTTACCTGATCCCCCGCCATTTTGCCCACAAACTTTTTCGACTGATCGACCTACGTACTTTACCCCCACCAGATTTTTCAACCTCAGTAACCCCCGCCCTTCCAATCCATTGATTTCATCGGCCTTGAAAACGCAACGAACGCAACGAACGCCACTCACGATTATTTCCAACATGGCCGAGAAACAGGCGGAGGCCCCGGCAGCTGGCATGCTCTGGGGGGGCAGGTTCACAGGTTCGAATGTTTCGGGAAACAAGCTTCGGACGCTGTATACTGACCTCACGGTGTCGCAGGTGCGATTGATCCTCTCATGCATAAGTACAATGCCTCCATCCATTACGACAAGGCTCTTTACAAAGAAGATATCCTCGGGTCGATTGCTTTTGCCAGAGCCAACTCAAAGGCCGGCATCATCAGCGACGACGAATTTCAGGCCATTGAGCGTGGTTTGCTTCAAGTGATGGAAGAATGGAAGCAGGGAACTTTCGCTATCATGCCGAATGACGAAGATGTAAGAGGCCGCTCAAATCTACTCAACTTCTCGAGGCTAACACAAAGAACCAGATTCACACGGCAAACGAACGTCGCTTAGGAGAGGTCATCGGCAAGGACATCGCGGGTAAGCTGCACACAGGTCGCAGCCGCAACGAGCAAGTTGTCTGCGATATGCGCATGTGGTTACGCGATCGGATCCGCGAAATCGACAGCCAACTCGTTGCATTCCTCAAGGTCATTGTCACACGTGCCGAGGCTGAAATGTAAGCCTAGCCCCATCTCTGGCCAAAAGCGGCTCCCTGCTGACTGACAACCTCAGCGACTATATCATGCCTGGATACACCCATCTCCAGCGTGCTCAGCCAGTTCGATTCTCTCAATGGATGATGTCGTACGCCGCTGCGTTTAAGCAGGATCTCGAGCGGTTGCGCCAAGTTTTCGAAAGGGTCAATCTTAGTCCCCTTGGTTGTGGCGCTTTGGCCGGCAACCCTTTTCGAATTGATCGAAACAAAATCGCTGAGGAGCTTGGTTTTAGCGGAATTACCTTGAACTCCATGAACACTTCGGCCGATCGCGATTTCCTAATCGACTTCCTGGTCTGGAACTCGATCTTCACCAACCACGTCAGCAGGTGGGCTGAGGACCTCATCATATATTCGACATCTGAGTTCGGTTTCGTGCGGCTGGCCGACGCCTATTCTACGGGTAGCTCTTTGATGCCCAACAAATTCAACGCGGACTCGTTAGAGCTTCTGCGCGGCAAGTCAGGGCGTGCTTTCGGTCAAATGGCTGGGTTAATGATGGTGAGTCCTCATTTTGACATCTCAGCCAATTGCCTTGGCTTTTGAGAAGCGCATCGGGAGTAACTACTGACTGTTCGTTTAAAAGAGTGTGAAAGGCTTGCCATCTTGCTACAATAAAGATCTTCAGGAAGGGTGGGGGCCTATGCTGGATTCGGTTCAGACTGTGTCAGATAGTCTTGGCATAGCCAACGGGGTTATTTCTACCCTAAAGGTGCGGCCAGACCGGATGGAGGCTGCTCTGGACAAAACGATGCTAGCCACTGATGTTGCAGAGTGGCTGGTGAGGAAGGGATGTCCGTTCAGAGAGGCTCACCACATCTCTGGACGCGTTGTTGCAGAGTCTGAAAAGCTGGAAGTTGCGATGGATAAGTTAACCCTTGAGCAACTGCAAGCCATTGATTCTCGGTTCACAGCAGACATTGCGGAGGCATTCGAATATGAGACGAGTGTCGAAGCGAAAACGGCTAAAGGCGGCACCAGTCGATCAAGCGTGCTGGAGCAGATCCAGGTTATCAGGGCTATGTTGGATTAGGGGTTTGATAGTATGGGAGGACTACGTAAGTAGTCCCTGTATGGGGCCAGGAACGTACGGCCCAATATCGACGATCCCGGGCGCCTGGGGGCGGCGGAAGCGTTGTTGGCAGTTTGGCGTTGGCGTTGGCGTTGGCGTTCAGGGCCTGAAAAAGGTCAACCATGAATACCTGACCACCTTACCTACCGTTCAAGACAGAGTCACCTTGACAACATCCAAATTAGCAGACGCGCGCTTCACTCGACGCCAAAGAATTCGGACCTGACCCAACTTGTCTCCTGCCATCCTCTCTGCTGCGCATCTACCAAAGGACCAGAAGGTACGATATGTTTTCAGGGAATCAAGCATGCCCATTGACGAAGCCTGGTTGCATACTGATCCTCAAGGCGGCCAACGTACGCTTACATAAGACAGGCGATTGCGAAAGCGTCGTGTTCCATCATCAGGTAGACTTCGGGGTCTGTACACGAACACCTCAGATTCGTTGATAGTTAGCAAGTGCGCTGCTATTTGTCTCATCGCCCAAAGCTGCGTCTGAACTACTTCTCTCTCACCCTACACAACTGTCGTCGTCACGCCCTGTTCCTGTGCATAAATAGCCCCCGGGTCGTCATTTGTCCAGTTCGTGATTTCCGCCAGCGTCCAAAAACCATTGCTCAATAGAGTTTTCTAAGATTTGCCTCTCCGAACACCAAGACCGGAAAGGGCAACCTGTAAGTTGAGTGGTTGACATCTTAGCGTACCCTTAGAGCAGGAACTCGGTAAAGTCGTGGGCCCACAGACAATGGGTTAACGAATGGCAGTAAACGACGTACACATACGATGCAACGGTCAGTGAGCCTCTGCTCTCCCGTTTCGTTGGCAAGTACTTCAGAAATTCGGGAACCCCAGAATCTGGGTTTCGTACCGAGGCAGCAGTCGTCAGATGCTAAAGGTTAGTCGGCGGGCCTCGCTTGTGCAAGCTGTAACTGACGCACGCGATGAGCCTTGCAATGTCTCAGGGTTATTCCTGCAAGAATACCTGGACGGACACACCAGACGATTCTCGAGGCCGGGACACTGGCCGAGAAATGTGCTTTTTGACGACCCCGTATAACAGCTCCGGCAATAGCGAGTTTGTATTGCCAAAATCGGCTCTTCCAAGGGTATCAAAGTAATCTCTCCCTGAGACGACCTGTGGTGCACAATCATGGATCGGTCTAGTTGCCGCCCGCTAACTTCCACGTCGACTTGCGGCTTTTCTCCGCCGAATCATGTCCGAATCCGTGTTACAACGAATGATCAGGTTATCACTCATCGCAGAAAAGCCCACCCATCTTGTCCCGCCACCTCCAAACTTATTGTCACTGTTACAACTACATGCTCCGAGATGCAAGGCATGTGGACATATAATTCCTTCAAATTTGGCGCTTCCACAATGAATTCATCTCTGCGCTGCATCTACCTTGGCATGTTGTAATGTTTGCTTAACGTTCGGCGTCTTGTTCACCGCAGTTCTCCGAGAAGCATGTTCCGATCAGATGATGCGGACAGTACTAGGAAAGGAAGTCAGCATTCGTCTCGTAACGCCAGAAAAAAAGAAGGCAGGAACGCATACTGATTGGCTCTGTGCCAGGCGCGAACTCAACACAATTGACTGTTCCCTTGTGACCTGGCAGCTTGTACATCAATTTGCCAGTCTCGCTAGACCATATCGTCGCAGTTCCATCTCCAGAACCAACGGCCACTTTCTTGCCCTCTGAGTCCCAGCTGGCACGGATGAGGTTCTTTTCGAGACCCACAGACGCACCGTCAAACGTCCTGATGTGTCTCTCGGTTGGTGCGAAGGGCCGAATGTCCCACGTCCTTACAGTCGAGTCCATAGCAAACGAGAGGAGTGATTGAGAGTCTGGCGAAACCCTCAGAGAGGTTACCGTATCCTGGTGCCCAAGCATGGAGTAGATCACCGACTTCTTGCGCAAATCCCAGACCTTGATGTCGTTATCAATGCCTCCTGAATAGACTTCATTGCCGGCTTCTGACATGGCAATAGCTGTGATCGGAAACTCGGTCTGAATGTGATCAACCGCAGTCTTTGTCCTCGGGTCCCATAAGCCTATGGACCCGTCATCACTGCCGCTGACCAAGAGTTCTTCGCCTCTCTTGCTGATGTCCATAGCATTGACAATCTCTTCGTGACCGACGTATCTTCGTATTCTGGAGCCGTTCTCCAGGTCCCAGCTGGCCAGATGCGTATCCGCCGATGCTGAGTAGACAATCTTCGAATCCCGCGACCATTGAAGGTCCAGGATGGCGCCGCGGTGGCCGTTGAGGATTCCGTAATTTTCACAATCGCCATACGTGCGCCACAGGACTTATCAGTCAGCACCAAAACTTGGCTTTCCTTGCGGCAAGATGAACTCACGAATGCTTCTATCCATAGATCCTGAGGCGATAAAGTTGCCTGTAGGATCGAACTTGGCTGAAAAAATCTCCCCAGAGTGCCCAGTGAGCTCCATGACAGGGGCTTGTAGATTGCTCGTTCGTGGCGCCTATTACGGCAACGTTAGCCATGATTGAACGGTACACGAGTCGCATATCTTACGGTCTGCACCAAGGCGTTGCTCTTCCCGGAACCATTGAGCCTCGACAGTGCTCCCGTGGATGATCCCACGTTTTGACGCTTCACGATCATCTGGCCCGAGCCTGGCTCGTCAGATGCCGGTCTTTTTTCGGACATGTTGAGGATGTATGATGTCTCTTCGATCTAATGGAGGTGCCGTTATTTTCAGGTCAATTTCGCGTGGGCTAATGCGCGCGTTGAGTGTTGCGATAGATGTTCAGTTGAATGAGCAGGAAAAGACAAAATACGCAACAACTGTAATCATTGGCCCGTGCAACAACCTACCTAAGTGCAGACGGGCTGGACCTGATCTGGACGCGACGCGGAACGGAGCTTGCTTCTGCCGATCACCGAGCTACCTATCCATCTACGTAAGTCCTGCTGGAGTGTGGGTGTACCGGGCTCAGCAGTGGAGTTCCCGTCCAATCCGACCCGACCTGCGCAAGTCTACGGGGTACAGTGCACCTCAAGGCTTAAGGTAGGTGGATGGCTGTTGTAGGTACGCGCTAAGGTACCTAATCAACTCTCCAAGCTTCTGATTGGCGCTTTCCTCAGTTGACCCTGGTGTATCCATCTCAAATATCCGCAGACGCCAGACCATCTACCACCCACACTGTGAACATCAACCACCCCGATACCATTGACAGCAACGTCAGGGCGCCCCAACACTTGCGCCTCACGACCACGCGAACTCTACGACAAGGCGATCCGGTGACGAGGATACTAGACCGGGCAGAACCCAGCCCCCAATCAGACAGAGAGGCGTTGAAACGGCCAGATCATTGCCGACTTCCTTGACTGTCTGCCGCCCTCACGAGGCTCGCATCGCTAAGCAACCTTGAGCTGTCGCACACTGACTGCGCAGCATGGCAGCAAGCAAGGCAACTCGCCTAGGTGAAGAGTGAGTATTCGGCTACGTATGCGGTTGATAGAGGCTAACAAGCTTTCTCACCAGGATCTGGAAGTACGTGAAGTCGCGACGACGCCATTCGAACCAGAATTGACCCTTTTCTTATAGAACACGCATCGACAAGGTGAACGCTGAGCTGGTGACTTTGACATATGGAACAATCGTCGCCCAGCTATGCAAGGACTATGACAGCGACTATGTGGAGGTCAACAAGCAGCTGGATAAGATGGGATACAACATCGGCCTCCGTCTGATTGAAGACTACTTGGCCAAGTCAAATACAATGAAGCGGTGCTCGAATTTTCGCGAAACGGCAGATATGATTGCACGAGTATGTGCATTCCCATCAAGAAGAAGACTGTCTAAATGTTAATCACTGATGAGCGCTAGGTTGGCTTCAAGATTTTCTTGAACGTTACGCCCCAAGTCACCAACTGGACGACGGATAACAAACAGTTCTCGTTGGTATTTGACGAGAACCCATTGGCAGACTTCGTGGAGCTGCCCGATGATGGGCGCGCGCAGGACGAGCTGTGGTACTCCAACATCTTCTGCGGTGTGTTGCGCGGAGCTTTGGAGATGGTGCAGATGCAGGTGGAGGCACACTTTATCAGCGATGTCCTGAGAGGCCATGACACAACAGAGATGAGGGTATCGTTGATACGATACATTGACGACGAATTGCCACCAGAAGACGACTGAGCAGTGCAAACCTTTCACATGACAACACCAATTGTCCGCAACTCCGGCAGCGATCACTGGGTCATGGCCTTCGCAGTCGTGGTCTCGCGGTATCTTTCAGCTAAAATACCTGTCTGGGACGAGGAAGAGCCCTAGAGGAGCAGTCGAGATGATCAACCTCAGTATCAACGTAATCCGACTGTGCATACGGTGGAATTTCCAATGACAACTCTGTCGGCTCTATTGAGACAGGCACCCTAGCGTCTCAGGCTTTTGAGATAAATGTAGCAAATGCAATGGTGCTCTCGCAGCACTAGGAAGAGACAATGGCTCGGTTCTCAACGACACAAAGTGGGCATTACTGGGAACATATCTGAAGAGCGATGCGGGAGACATGTGACTGCAGGCAGGGAGTGATAATTGTGAGAATGGAAACAATCTTGGCGCTCAATTCAAGGCCGCACTTTGTATCCGTACCAACGCCGGGTTTGCGGTGGCCCTGGGCCTGTATCCACGTTGGCGGAATATAACGGGAGTTAATTTTGACGACATGGAGCAACGTCCAGCTACTGCTTTCAACAATCCCATTGCTACGACTTGGCGTTGACACGACACACTGATCAGGCAAATGGACAGACAGACAGCAGGTAAATTAGCGGGTGCATTGCTACTGTATCAATTCCAGGGAGGGCATATTGCGGAGTTAGGCGACGGACTTCGATAAGTGTATCGGCCGGTGTCGGCCGAAGTGGGGAGAGGTGCCCAGAGGTTCGGGATGCCGCCGTAGTTGGGTCTAGACAGCCTGAGGGAAACTTTGAAAGAGATGGATGATCGGGACGATGCGACAAGGCGACGAGAAAGTCACGGGCGGGATGGCGACATTGAGCGAAGGATATCGGTCTGCCTCGCCTGCTCCGAGGAAGTCATTTCGCATAGTTGGCGACATCTCGAGGCTCCGACCAGTCACAGTGTCGCGTTGGCTCGGAGCTGGCTAATGCAATAAAGTGGAGGCCCGTGCTTTGCGCAACGACGATTTCAAGTAAAAAGCATCCAAGGCATCAAGGGGATCATAGGTTGAGAACGACAATTGTGCGCTGGGGTAAAGTCTTTTCATGAGTTTCCAAGTGCGCCCTGTGGTTGGGCCATCGCAGTGTGCATACGATTCTTCCGGTATTGAAATGTCCTCAGGTGTCCTATGACCCTGAAGGGTCTTTAGTTTATCGCAATTCAGTGGGAGGTCATCTTGGGTCGGGTGAAACTTTGCACTGCGGGTTTATTCCCAGCAGCCTGGCGCGTCGTCGCGTCTCGCTTCACTGAGACGGATAATGAAGCGGCTGGAGCTTCAACCGCGATGCGACGTCGAACAGTCAGTACGTGGGTCGATGAGGAGCCTGCGTGCTTTAGCGAGGTACCCTGTCATAAGCTCCTGTCAGTGTCGACATCTGGGACGTTACCTATCCGTACATACCTTTAAGAACGAATACCGTCTGTGTAAGACGATGGGTAAAGTAGGTATTAGACAGTTACAGCTACAGTGCAGTCGGCGGGCTTATCGACTAGGTAAATACACCGTGTATCTTGATATATCTGTAAATGTCCCCCCTTCTTTGAGGTCTTTGTAGCCTTTTTTTTTTGCCTTTGACACAACGTGCTTTGTGCCTCAGGCCAGAACGTGCTCAGAAGTTCGCGCCTCATTCTCAGGTGTACCCGCGTCCTCCCGCCCCCGAACTGCTCTGACGACCACCCAGCTCCCAGTTCCAGGTCTCCAGACTCCCCCCAAATCTGCCCAAGCGTCCTGGGCGAAAATTAGGAAAATCCCAACCCCATCCTTTCCACCCGTCGCTCGTCCTGCGTCTCTCCCCTTCCATTGCCTTGCCTTGTCCATCTCGCGCCCCTCTCTTCCACCTTCCTCTACCCTCCTGTCCTCTCCCCTTCCTTCATCAACTAAATCCCCCCCTGGTGGCCTCGCATGCCGAATACTTGCAACTTGGCTTTAAACACGCGTCACTTGCTCAGTTGATGGTTTCGCCCTTTGCCCCGAACCATTTGTCAATTTCGCAGTTTTGATCTCGCCTTATCGGTCTAGCGCAGCGCTGCAGGAGAGGGACGACTGCGACTGCTTGTAGAGCAGCAAGCTGGTCTGGCAGGATCGACGACGCCAGAACAACCCCCCAGGCCCAAACCAAGAGCCAAATCCCAAGACCCAGAGAAGACACTCAGCACCCCAAAGAAAGCCCCCGACAGAGCTTCTCTTCCGACATCCGTTCTCCTGTCTTTCCACTTCCCTTAACTTGCATCCCTCAACCTAATCCCACTCAATCCACACTTGCTCTTCTCCTGCAACTGGTATCTATCGCTCGCCCTCTCGCTCACTCTTCTACACAAATCCTCGACTTCCTATCGCCATACCGCATCGCCATCGACGGAGCCACGACGGAGCCAGCAACGACCGCGCCTCTTCTCCTTTCCGACTGCGCTGCTCTTCTCTTCACTTCCTTTTGTATCTCCGATCGCGAGCCCTCGCCCTGCGTCGCGACCATTCAATCCGTTCACTCTCTCCATTAGAGGCCCCCCAAGTGGCCTACCGCTGAACCCGACACGCTCCTGCCGGTCGGCTTTTAGCGCACCGCGTGCCACGCATCCAGCGCCTCTGAGGTGGCTGACCGAAAGTTTTTCGACGACCGCGATTTCTCTGTCCACCGACCACCACCCCCGTCCTTCAACCAACCTTTCCTTTCATCATCTACCGCATCGACTTCTTCTCTTCCAGCCGGGCAGACAACTGTCTGCAGCCCGGCCCACCCTCGTCACCATGAACGTCAACGTTAACCCCAACATGGCCAACATGAACGCCATGGGCGGCCCTGTCGGTGCTCCCGTACCCATGATGAATAATGGCGCAGTCGCACCTCAGGTCGCTGGCCCCCGACAAATGCCCGTTCCCACCGAGAGCCAAAGAACATTGCTCAACACTTACATTTACGAATACTTTCTCCGCCATCAAATGTTTGACTGTGCGCGATCGCTCGTCAACGGAGACCATCAAATAAACGTCACTAAGGATGGTGCGAACCGACGGAGGGATGAAAATGGCAATCTGCTTGGGAATGGCTTGGGTGACGATCCTATGGATACCGACTCCAAGGATGACATTGACGCGAAGCTCCCTGATGATCTTCCCGCTCCCAAACTGCCCATGCCTGCTTCCGAATCCTCGTTCTTATACGAGTGGTTCTGCCTGTTCTGGGATATTTTCAACGCGCAACGTACCAAGGGCGGCAATGGCCCTGTGAATCAATACGTCAGCCACACCCAGGTACGTGTTTTCGAGCTCATGCGACCTCCAGTTTCCATGCCGTCTATTTCCTGGCTTATGCTAACTCGGTTTGCAGCAACAATCCCGCATGCGCCAAAACCAGCAGCAGGAGCTTCTCCGTCAGATGCGCCCCGAGGGCCTGGCCGCTCAGCAGCAATATCACAACCAGATGATGCGCAACATGCAGAATGGTGGCATGGCCATGAACATGAAGCAGGGAAACCTCGCGCGCACAGCTATGGCAAACAATCAGAACAAGTGAGTATTCAGTCCGCAACGGCCCGTGATTCAACCCGAAGATGTCGCTAATAGATTGTCGTAATAGCCCCCAAGCCATGCAAATGCTTCAGCATAAGCAGACTCAAATGCAACGCGACCCGTCTGACATGGAGGGAAACCGACAGCGCCCCTCCTCGCCTGGTTCTGGCGAAAATGCTCCTTCACCCTCAAAGCGACCTCGCCTGGACGGAACGCCTTACAACCCGAGTCAGCCTGGGATGATGCCGAATGGGAGACCACAGCAGGGCATGCCAGGCCAGCAGGTGGGGACCGCCCCAAACGTAGCTCAAGCCCAGCAAATGCTCATCACCAACGGCATTAACCCGGCACAGCTGACCCAGCAGCAGTTCACGACATTCTCAAATCAACCACCTGCTGTCCAAGCGAAGTCCATTGCCACATACGCTGCGAATCTGCAGCAACACCAGGCCAGCCAGATGCCGAACAAGCCTATGCCTAACGCGGCCGGTCCTCAGGGTCAAGGATCCCCTATGATGGCACAGGGCCCTGATCAAGCTGGGCTGGCCGCATACTATAACGCCGGCGAGATGCCTGCCGGCATTCGACCTGGCCCTGGCGGTGCCCAGGCCGGCGGTGGAAGTAACCACGCTCTGCAAGATTATCAAATGCAGCTAATGCTTCTGGAGCAGCAGAACAAAAAGAGACTTATGATGGCTCGACAGGAACAGGACAGCATGGGCGGTGCTATGCCAAGAGGAGACGGCCCTGCCGGTCCTGGCGGTCCTGGTGCTCCTCCAGGCCCCAACGGCCAGCCATTCCCTGAGACTTCCCCTCAAGGTGCTAGGACAGGAGCCTCGCCCAACCCGACAGAGCAGATGAAGCGTGGTACGCCCCAGATGAACAACGCGGGCATACCTTCACCTTTGCCGGAGGGCGCCCAGTCTCGGGGCTCCCCCAATCCCATGAACTTCATGGGCAACCAGATGGATCCCAACATGGCACCCCACTTCTTCAAGGGCATGGCGAATATGGACGGGAACATGGTGCCAAACCCTCAGATCAATGGCATGCGCCCGCCTAGCTCGCATCCAGGCCAGACCTTCAACGGCCAGATGAACCCTCAACAGATGATGGCTGCGAGACAGCAGCAACAACAGCAACAAGCGGCTCAGCAGCAGCAGCAGCAAGGCCAGCCTCCGCAACAACAGCAACAGCAGCCTCAACAAGGTGGTCAAGGCAATCAACCTGTGCAATGGCAAGGAGGTCCGAACGGCAACCAGATGGTACCTCAGGGCCCTCAGGGTCAAGTCCAGGGCACCCCTCAGCAGCGATCAATGCCACCACCGTCCGCGCCTGCCGCCGCGAACGCAAACCGTACAAACACCTCGTCCCCTCAGCAAGCAACTGCAGCGCCACCCACTCCTTCGCAAGCCAATAAGGCCGCGCCCAAGAAGAAGGATAACAAGAACGCAAAGGCCAAGGTAAGCACAACAAAAGCCTATGAGAACCATCTAACAAATTTACAGGCTGCCACACAAAAGAAGTCAAACCCCAATCTCAACAGCGGAGCCACGCCGGCGGCTGATGGCACTCAAGACCAAGAGCCGCCAACCCCGGCGACGCCCATCACTCCTGTCAACCCCGCAAGCTTCAAAGCTGGCCAGAACGCGCCGGTCTCTGCCGTTCCCAATGGACAGCCTCCAGCTCCCGCGGCCGCACCTGCGCCCCAGGTCGCTCCTCAAGCTCACTCGGATGCCAACCAGAACGGATCGTTTGGCATGGACAGCACAAATGGCATGGTCGATTTCGGAGCCATGGCATTTGCGGACCCTCTCGTCTCCGATAACGTCCTAAACGACTTCGATTTCGACTCGTTCTTGCACGAAGATGGTGACAATCAAGCCTTTGACTTCAATACCGGCTCTTTCGGCATGGAGGGTGCCAACGAGATCGGCGCAGACTAGGTGTCCAATTGAAACTGTCATTGCGCGCGTTTGTAGCCAAGGGTAGTTTGACGATACGGTGACGGTGCAGGCTGTCGCTTCGCGCCTCGCAATATCCGCCATTCATTCCTTGGATCCAGCTACGACGTCGACCGTTTTGCTTGTTCCAGCTGGGCAACATTTCGGTCGGAATACCAGCAATCAAGCCCCCTGGCTTTGTGAACATTGAGTGGCATATACGCCAGTTGATTCATCCACAAGGGCAGTCTATGGACCCTCTGCCCAACCCAAAAAGAAAAAAAAACCATTCCCAACACATGTGGTCTCTAGACCATTTACATCGTCGTCACTCAGCCTGACAGTTTTCTTTATTTGCTACTATTCCTCCACCTACCACCTGTCGACAACATAGGCAGAAATGGTTGTGGTGTTTGTTATCTGGTGGAAGTGTGGTGGATGGACACATTCACCGTCCTCTAACGCCCTTCAAAACAAAGGCGGTCTTAATTCACGCGTGCATCTGCCTGGTGTGACACGCATTCAACCTCAACAGGGGCCTTCGAGCTAGCTGTCACCACACGAGCTTCTCCTTGGCTGTCCTTGGATCATTGGTTCTGGAGTTCTACGGGCCGGTTTCGCTAGTTTTTTTCAGGTGCCTACTTCCTACCTCGAACAGTTGGGCGAAATCATTGATTACATGCGGCATACGAATTGAGATTGCGGAGCCCGGGTTTTACTTGGAGTGGGAAAGTTCGCTGGACCATGAGTTTCAACTTGTGCAAAAGAGGAGAGGAAGTCGAAAAGGGGGCAGAGTTGCTGTCCGGGGTTGAGTATGAGAAGAGCATTGTATTTATTAGAAGGTTCAGGACAACATCATACCGTGTCCAGCCGTCGTCGTTTATCCTAGGTCTTGTCAGATTACTGTGGCGTGTGGAATGGTATTGGCTTACGAGGTTCAATCCATATTTTTTCAGTTGTTCGAATACTGCTATCAGGCTCAGCAGAGGCATCTTGTCAACGGTGAATAATGCTTGTCAAGCAATCCGGAGAACACGAGTGTACGCGAGGCACCATGCGAGTTGTATGTTCAAGGTAGGTGTGTCATTTTGAGTGTATTTCAAGCCATTGACCACCATGGACTGGTCGTCGATGAGGGGGAATCCCGTTCGCGGACCGCTTCGGGTGCTCAACTAACAGTGCCCGGTGTTGATGTATTTTGGAAGGGACAGCCTCTTTTCCCGCTGCTTTTCCTATGGTGACATAATCCACCTCACTGTCGTTGTTACTGCTGTCGTCGTCGTCGTCGTCGTCGTCGTCGTCGTCGTCGCCGCCGCCGCTATTATTACCATCATCATTACTTCTACTACCGTCTTTGATAGCGATGCCACAATAGACTCCCAACTACCAGTCCCCGCCTCCTGGTCATTACTATATACTAGCTCACATAGTCTATGACCAAGAGCAGATTCCATCCATATGTGCTTGGGGCAGCAACGACAGAAAGGGAACTTCGCGCGTCGGGCGTATCGATCCCGTGTTCCTTGAGCCAAAGCAGAGTTAAGATCAAGTCGCATCATAGTTTACTTTCCACAAGTTGGGTACTCGGCGCAGATTGAAGAGAATGCCATTTGATTTCATCATTCTGGTCATATATCTGCCATCACTCTGCGATAGCATCTAGACCACTGGTGTTTCGCCCTTGAAATAACAGTCTTGTGTCAGTCACATACTAAAAGACTGGGCTCTTTCAATCTACGGGAGGGAAGGGTGGACTAAGGTTGGCCACTGCAAGAAAAAACGCTGTTGAATGGGGGGTATCTACTATGAACAGAAGCGCCATCGCGCGTACTTGAGTGAAGCTGCGGGCAAGCGTCACTGGTATGGCGTTGTTATCTCGAGGCTCTCGTCAAGATTTGGTCGGATCGCAGAGAGCCCGCAACGCCCATCCAGTGTACACAAGCAAGCGTGATTGAAAGCGGTCGAGAGAAGTCCAGCATGCGGCAAGTCCTTGACGTGAGGACACGCGGGGGCGAACTTCGTTGAGGGAAGCTCATGCCGTCTCGTAAACGGCGAGATATCCAACCTCCATCATGCTACCATAGCCATCCTGAGTAGCGTCGGTAGGATTACCCGGAAGTGTACCACCTATGCTATGTTAGTTGGGCGGCTCAAATATGGCCGAAAATGATTCAGACTTACCAACAGCGACGTTCATGAGCACGTAGTAAGGGGCATGGGCGAGCGTGGCCCAGATCGACTCGTTCCCAATATCAGCACCGGTCAGCGTGTTGAAAACAACGCCATCGCGCATCCAGGTAATTGTCTCGGTGAGCCAGTTGTTGGAAGTACGGTCCCACTGAAGACTCCACGTGTGCCAGTCGTTATCCGGGATCGAGGTAGCAACTCCACGGCCGCTGGGTTCGTTGCAGATACCGCCAGACTCTTGTTGGCAGTGGACGGTGCCCGTGGCAGAAAGCTGACCATTGACCTGTTCAAAGATATCGAGCTCGCCGCAGAGAGGCCACTGCGTACCGTGACGGACGGCATCGCCCAGCATCCAGAAGGCCGGCCAGATTCCCTGCTTATTCGCGTTGGCGCCCATTCTGAACATGGACTGGACACGCATCAGTTTTCCGGGTTGAGGGGTCCACGAGGCTTTGGTCTCTATGCGGCCTGAGGTCCAGACGCCATTGGAAGATTTGCGGGGGATGAATTGGATCGTCTCGCCGCCGGAAATTTGAAGGTTCCAAGATGAGTCGGTGTAAGTCTGTACCTCGTTGTTGGTGTCGATGGCTAGAGTGATGCCCCAAGTGTCGCTTCGGGGAGGCGCGCCAGCGTTTCCTTGGAAGGTCTCTGACCAGATGATGTTCATGCCGTCCACGGCCGGGGGGGCGAGAGCCTTGGCAAAGGGCACAAGTGCCAGAAGAAGAGTAGAGCTAAGCATCTCTGATGTTATGAAGTGACGTTTCAGACTTGAGGACGATATCGAGGGAGAAATTGATGATTATCGATTGTGTGGTGTTCTCGTCGTACTGGCTTATAATGCTGGCAAGCTGCAAATATCCAAAAGAAGGAATGACTGGGACGATGTACGTCGTGTGAATGAATGTAAGTGAAGTGATCACCAAGAAAGGAATGTAAGCGGCGCTGTAGGCCAGGTCAGGGAGTGTGGAATTGAAGGCGAGAAGGCAACGAAAGGCATTCTGATGAACGGAGGCCAGAGGCTGGACTGAGTATATATAATAGATAGGAGTGTGCTGTTTGCACAAAATCCTTGCCGGTGGACAAGAAAGTGGGCGGCAGCAACAAGGGAGGTCTCCCCGGTGCTGAGAACCAGAGAGAGCAAGCGAGCCACAGAGACAGGGAAAAGAGCTCGCTCACCACCCATGGGCCATGGCAATCCTCCGAAGCAGTATCCATAGCCCGAGGCTGTATGCCGTAAGGCAGAAGAAAGAAATTGGACGTGGGGAGTAAGGATGAAACGCCCAGAATCGGACAGCAACACCCTTCAGCGGCGGTGATGGTGGTCCGCTTGGCTCTCTGGGGCTCGACTAATCACAAGTTCTCGTTGCAGCCGAAGTCCCAACAATGGTAGCTTCGCGGCGCAAGTGGGTTGCGTGTAGGTAGTCAGATGTGGGTAGTACCAGGGCCGATGAACAGGGCCAAGTCAAAGGCAGGGACAGCGAAGACCATACCAAACATATGCAGATAGTCGAGTTGGTTGGTTGGTAATTGCCACCACTATCGCAGTGACTCTGCATTGTACCTGCGCAGCTGCGTGGCACCAAGAAGCTCCCATCTTCCCTCCCTGACGTGGTAAAGTAGAGTACCGTCTAGATACCTTGCACAACAGGGGCAGCTCATGACGGGAGGTGGCTGATGAATGGAAGGGAGTGGTGATCTGCGCCATGAGAGGGGACCCCAGCGGCCGATGAAGGTCGGGACCAAGGACCAAGAGGGAATTGCGGAAGTGTCGGTGCAATGAGAGGGCACAAAACGGGCAGAATGGAGATTCAAGCCTGGAAAACCACCCAGGTTGAGGTAGCAGGGGGCGCAGAGGACTGAATGATCATGGATTTGCATGATATTGTCATGGACGGGGGAAAGAGACGGGACGACTTAGGATGTTGATAAGGGGGCCTCCGAGCCAAGGATCGACTCCCGCTGCTGCATTGGTCACTGATAGATCCCGCTTCATAAGGAGAAAATAAAAGCGCATAAGCTCAATCCCCAGGCTGTTAACCTTGCTGGCAACGAAGCCATCGTCAACGAGGCTGACAGCCACAATGGGCGAGTTGGGGTCGGCGCGGGCAGTTATTCCGGACCCTTGGGTACGTATACTGCGAAGCTACTGGACTGGGCACTGACCGAGGTGCTTTTACTGCTTTTTCCCCTACTGTGAAAACCCCTACTGGGTGGGCTCGAAACTTCCTCAACAAGCTCAATCCCCACCGCTAGCTGGGGATTGGGGTGTGATCCGTCCACTTAGAGCAGAAAAATTCTGAAGGGGGAGGGAAAAAAATAGGAGATGGGCAGAGTCAGTCAGACTCGTTCGTCCCGAAGCTCCACGAAGGAGAAAAGGGGTAGGCTCGGCGATTGCGCATTGGATATGATACTCTTGATGATGTGCTGCAGCCAACATTGTGTGCCGTGTATGCTGTATGCTGAGAGGAGGTAGGGGGAGCTTGATAGAGCGTGCTGAGCATACACTGACAATGCCACGGGTGTCTCGTTTCCTCCCACTCTAGAGGCACATCGGCAACGCATCTAGCCCCTGGGATCCCATGGAGGAGGTGGTGGATGTGACAGAATGGTAGCGTGGGGGGGCTGCCTGATGTGGATGGCCAGTGTGCAGACGGGACACGCCGCCGCGAATTTCTCAGTGCGAAAGATCGGATCGCTCAAGTGCAATGCCCCTGCCGCTATATGACTCTGCACGAATAGTGGCGTAGCCTGCCAGCTACCCAGCCTTACTTGGGCCGGCAATGCATGTTCTGAGACAGGACTGACAGGGTTTCTCCGACAGGGGCTAGCTGGTCCGCGGCGACACTGGACGAACCAGAGGAGGCGAAAGATATCGGGTAAAGGTGCCGCAGCACACCGCAATGCGCCGCAAATGGACGCGGCACTGCCCAATTCCGCACCAGAGACCCGGACCGACTCCGTTCAGGTGCCGCGTTGGAGATGGGCCGCTCAGTCTGTAAGAGCGGAAATACCCACTGCCTCCCACACGCCTTGTTGCCTTGTTACCCCTGCACGTAGCATACATACGTGATGGCCACATAACTCTGAGTACACACATCAGCATGTCAGCCAAGCTGACCACACAATCACGGACGCAGAGCGTGGAAACCAGGTAGTCGAACTTCCGCGTAAATCCAGGAGATAAGCGAGTCGCCTCCACTGAGATACACCACGTTCAACCGAGGGCATGGTACCGTGGATACAAGGACGATGGCGAAGCGGGAGGTCCACCACTGAGACAATGCCCCCGTCGCTGAAGGTCGCTGGCTTTGTGAGGCTCAGAATGGCGGAAACGAACTGTCATGCTCATTTTCGGACGACCCCAAGACTCTTCCTTCCAGTGTACATTATAACATCGCCAAGCGGGTTCTGTGCGCTTTAGCCCGTGATAAGATATCTGGCTCTCTTCCAAGGCACGTAGGTCAGCATCCTTATTTGTTTATGCACAGCAGGCTCAGCCGCCTACTGTTTCTGTACACGGCTCTAAATTCTAGACAAGTTCTGAGCAAAATGTCTGTTCAGGCTAGACACTCGGGGTATATTATCCCTGCATTACTAATAATGAGGTATCCGGGACCTGGTGGTGGAGTGTCTTGTTCAGCATTGGCCGCCATCTAGTATCTGGTCTGGCTGAGGAGTTGCGCCGAGGACATCCCCGAGCTTTTTGCCAAGTTGGACGATTGTGTGCTCGTACACTCGCGCGACGTCCATATATAGTCTGTCGTCATCCTCATCCCAAACCAATCTGGCGCGATCGTCGCTTTCTGCTTCAGTGTCGAAGTCTTCTTCCTCTTCGCCGTCGTTGTCTGGCTCTCTGCCAAGAACTTCGACAATCACTAGTCGAGTATGCTCTACGGAGCTTCGACAGCGGACCATGTCGGTGGTGGTCATTCCTGCCCTGAGGCCGTTCTCAAACCCGGGCAAAGAGTCGCCAGTGTCGATGTCTCGGCCAGTCAGAAGACTTGCAAAACAATGGTCGAGCTTGGTGAGAACAGAAAACGTAGCTCTCGGAGAGGGCGGGAAGGCGACGATCCATTGAGTGAAATCGCCAGCGATATTCAAGAGGAAGGGGATTTGCAGGCTCGCTACGAGGGGATGTGTCAGTCATAGGAGAACAAGAAGCGTGCGGGAACACGTGGGCGTTCACTAACGTGTTGCGGATAGCCAGAGAACATCGATGACGCCGTGCAGGTCTTTGCACAGCTCTGCGAAGGTCTTATAGCCAACAACATCGTCGCCCGGCTCAGGATTGCCGTGTTTCTTAACAAAGCGACGGTTGACTACTGCCAGTCGTTCCCCAACGTATCGGCGGACTGTGTCTTCTTTACTCGATCCTGGCCGCAGGGATTTGGCACGAGGATGGGGGAGGCCCGCACTAGAACGGGTAGATGAGCTGCTGGGAGCTGGTGAAGGGAGGGTCTGCGAGGGGAAGAACCCCCCCGGGCCGGGTTGCGAGGTGTCAGCCATGTTTGAAAGGTATAGGCACTGGCTGGGTCAGGGTCGACAAAGTTCGGCGCATCGTCAGGACTGGAGCATGGCTTTATAGGCGTTAATCTGAGCTTGAAGGTATGGGTAGCACTCGAGCAGTGAGAAGCACCGGGTAGGTAGGTTGGTAGAGGATAAGTTATCTCCGCTCCATCACGTACCCAAGGTTTAGGACTCACTATTCGTACCGGCCATGACCTATGTATGTACCTTACCTACAACTGTCTCTTAGTAAGCAGTGCTGGACCGTGCACCACGCCACACCTTGACCACTCAGCAGTGGCTTATGTCGGCGAGATAGCGCTAACGTGAGGTGGCTCGTGTGGTGACGTTGAATCAAAAATTTCCGCTGCGACAGAGCTCCGTCGCGCAAGCACCAGTCTGATATCGACCTCCAACTTCACAAAGCCACTGAGTGTGAAAAGACAAAATACTTCTCCCCCGCCAACGAGAAATTTTCCCCGGTCGTCAAATATCGTTGTTGTCAACATGCCTCCTAAGAGAATCGTCGTTGAGAGAGCTGGTGGCCCCCGAACTCGCCAGCCCAAGGGTTACTTCAGATCGACCTATGATGCCCTGACTTCGTCAGAGAATGCACCTATCGTGCGTAGCATCGCCATCTTCGGCGTAAGTTCTACGCCCACCAACTTTTCCCAGGCACGCAACAAACTGACCATGTCCGCAGGCTGCCGTAACTTTCCTCTCGAGCTCCTGGGGCGAGTTCCTCCTTCCTCCGTGAGCAGTCCCCTGATCACCTACCTGGTATTGTCTAGCCATTCTTACTCTCTCTAGTCAATGAAAACCTCAATCTCTCGATTGCCGAATGACGATCCATGTATAATCACACATTCCTGTTGCCGCACATGCTGGCTGTACAATAGTTCGAAGACGGGTAGCCTCGATGCTACTTCACGAGGAACGGCATACGAGGGTCGGCTTAGTACTCGAACCCACGACTTGCCCCCTGGGCTAATGAATCTCACTCTGATGCACCACCTTCGCTTCATCTTCCAGAGCCTGTCTCGATGTGATGTTGTGTGCGGGCACGGTATGGCGACTCCGAATAGGCCAAACCGTCTAGGCATCGTTGTCGTTCTCTTGCCTATCACAGCACAGCTCGCCGGGAGAATCAGCACGGCATCAGCTACACTCGGCAAGGGTTTCAATGGGGAAACAAAGGCAAGTTTACAAGCTTGGTCTGCAGATGGCCGTATGCGGCATTACAATTGATTAGGTAGGCTTAATCGCGCAAAATATTCCCTAAAATTGGGGCTAGGATCTGTCCGCCTCTTACATCAACACCGCATTCTGGCAAGTGCCATTGCACTTTTGGTAAAGTGACAGCGCTGCATATCCACCACACACGTCGGCCGTGCTGCCGGGACACGGCATCTCGCAACTGCCGAGGAGGCCCTTTTTGGGCATCCGATCTGCTGCCACTGAATTGCCACACCAACACTCCTTGGCGTACTCCAGCCCAGCATACTGGTATCCCTGGTCGTTACAGTATTTGACGCAAAAGTCGACGGTCATGGTGTCTGATGTCTTCCTGGCGGGAAGCGTACGACCTTGGCCTGAAGGATCACGAGCGCAGCCAAGATATTTGAATTTGAGTGTGCTCGTAACATCCTTAAAGCCCCATTGAGGCTGCGAGATCTGTGTTATTGCGCCGCAATTTGACTGCGGTTGTGCGTTCGACGGGCCTGCTTGTACCGGGTTGCAACCAGGGAGGGCATCCAGTTGGCCGGAGACTTGCTCATTCACTTTTACGGGCACTCGACACCCCTTCCTCGTCTCGTCATCGAAGAATCGAAAGACGCTGCACTTTTCAAGTGAGCCACTGTTATCAGTGCATTGCTTGATTGCAGACTGGAGTACGTCGATATCCCATCCATTAAGGAAGTCACCGTGGAGACCGTATCCGGTTGGGTCACTGGGCAGCGTCAGCTTGCACGGTCTCCACGCGGGACAGACGAGTAGTGCATACCCATTAGACAAAACGAACGGTTGCTTGTCCCCATACCATTGGTCTTTGAAGTCGGTAACCTGGAAGATAACCTCATAGAATAGACTAAATCGTTAGCTCCTATGACAAAAGGGAATTTTCATTGAGTGGGGGGAACCGTACGTTACAAGTCTCTTGGGGTGGGATGTCGGGCATTTCCCAGTGCTAACACCACTTGGATATGCCATGTGGCTTTTGTGGTCTTGTGAATCGACGTTGAGACCGTCCCAGCAGGATGGGAACACAATTTGGACACGTAGCCCATCGGGACAGTTGCGGTTGGGGAACTCATTCGTCTGAGGGCCACCATTGCCTAAACAGACATATGAGATGGCCTTCTGCTCCAGGCTGCTCTCATTGAAGCTGCGCAACCTTGGGTCACCTGCCAGCATCCGAAAGCCCTTTGGGAAAGCGAGAAGTCCGTTGCTGTACTCTGGATCCTTTGGGTCCGACCTTAGTCTTAATGATAAGAAAGGTCAGTCTTGCCACACATAGTTCTTTCCCCATTGGAGAGATTCCCGCTTACAGATAATAAACCAGCATTCCTCCAGCCTGTCCGACGCTCGTGAACTTCCCGTTTTGTCCCCGATAATACAGACTTGGTGTCCAATAGTTGCTCAAGTCGGCAGTGACCGCACAGGTCGAGCAAGAGGACGCGCGAGCCTGTTCATAGGTCATGCTGAAGTCAAAGCCGTTGCCACCCATGACAGTATGTACATGCCCAGATAACGTTCCAGGATTGACAATGGGATCGGCTCGTTCTACGACCACCGGCCTTGAGCAGGGGATCTTGAAGAAGGCGGTAACATGACTGGCCATCCACGCGCCGCTGAGGAGCCACCTCGCAGTCTTCATGATCGGAAACTGTAGGGGCCAGGCAGTGAATTGGCAGTATGTGGGATTCGAATTATGGAAGAGTGCGGGCCAAGGCGTTGGGAAATCAAATCGGCCAAATATTAAGTGAGTGTCAATGGACTGAACAGCTGCAGGTGTCGGCTTATGCGAGCAACGAAGTAACGATGTGGATGTTGGCTCTTATCAAGGCAGCGTGGACACGACCGGGTCTTTTTATCTTTTTCTCCCTCCAAGCAGATCTATGGTTCGCGACCACAGCCTCCGACGTGGATGGCAGGCTAGGCAAGACTCCAACGATAGGGCTCTTCCCATGACAGCCATGGCTTCACAGCTCCATCAGCCACCCGGCCCATTGTTTTCACCTTAAGCTATCGAGGAACAAGGCAAGTTGGACGCATGACGATTCGTCTCAACTTAGTCTGCAAGCGTTCCTAGGCCGAGGACTTGGTGGTGTCCACAGATTGCGAGCTGGGCTTGTCGGCGGCGCTTGTCGGCGGCGCTCGTCGGAGGCGGGTCCGGGATGCCATGCAGGCAGAAGGACAGTCGCGATTTTAGCTGCCCATCGTCACGGACAGCGCATGCCATTTCAGCCTCAAACCGGGCGTACTAATTGCCTGTCCTTCAGCTACATGTCTCTCTTACCACCACCAGGGTAGCGCAGATGTACCCGACGGACGGGGGTTTGGGGGCGTCGCAAGATCTGACGCACGTCAAGATTCTACGTGGTGGAAGATTCAGGCAATATCCGTACTTGTCCGGACCGGAACTCGAGACCATGGAACCAAGCTTCGGAGTTTGAATACTCGATGTCTTAGACAGCAGTGTCATCTGGGAATATTGTGGGGGTTCTGTTTGACTCAGCTTCGTCCGCACTTGCAAGCATCCGTCATCCGTCGGGGTCTCAGTCGGAATACACGTTGCGTTTGAGGGCTTTCATTGGAAAATTGACGGATTGGTACTAGGGGGACAGTTTGATGAACAAACGAAGAGCTCCCGAAAAGTTGCTTATGCCAAGGTGCTCATACTAACCCAACTGGTCGGGCGATTGGACACCCAGCAGCCGGTTACAAGGCCAATGGACGGGCGTGTGCTCAGCTGTCGAGACTTTTGGGAATCAATGAGAGACAGGTGGCGGGCCAGAACAGGCTCTTTGGCCCCTAATTGGGAAATTGCTGCTACGGTCTCGGTAAGTTGTCTCCTTGTCTTACTTGGCAAATTGCCCGACCTGTCATCTGTTCCCGGAAAAAAAAAGGCGAGGGCTGAGAATGCTTTCATGTCCCCTTCGTCCTTACACCCGAGAAAATTCTAAAGAAGCAAGGCCGGTAGACCCATGCCTGGAAGAAAATACACGATCTGCGTGACCCAGCAGCGAAGGATGATGGTCCACTTGCCGACACAGACAGACACTAACATGGTGCTGCGTTTGACAGCAGCAAACTCTCGGGTATCGGAGACCTACAAACACACTCTGGCAGAAACCCCCGACCCCGTGCCGTAGACGGAAGGTTTCGGTCATGGCGGGAGTGACGGCATTTGGGAAAATCATGGTGGGGCCGCAACGGATACCGTACCGCCGATACGGGCGTGTCAGTGGTGTCTCTGCGCAACTGATCAGGGTCTTCTACAACGTTGATTGGGGTTTGAGGAGTAAGACAAGATACCTCATCGTCTTCTGGGCAATGAGGCTCAGTGAAACTTCTCTTTATCAATCGTTGTCTTGACGCCTCGTCCGTCACCATGATCTAATTTACTTTGCCCGTTTCAACTGAATATCGCCGCTCGGTGAGCGAAGTAATTGTCGTGGGTTATGGCGGGAATACTCTCTTGAGTATTTACTGATGAGTTCCTGGTTTTCTGGAAAAAAAAAAAAAAAAAAAAAAAAAAGCCGTTCTCTTCCGCGCCTCCCGGTCATTTTCTGCATATGGCCTACCTGGCAGCCGGTAGCGGGCAGGGTACATATCATATCGCCACCAGAAAGGTACCATGTTCTTCGTGGCCCAGAGAAAGCTCTGATCCGGCGCCGAATCTTGATCTTAGCTGCAATCCTAGTACGATTGGAGATCACGTAACGACATCGTGCATCTCTTGAGTGCGGTCGGTCAACTGTATCTCGGGAACCCAGGCGCGTCCATGGTTATTGGGTCAGTCAAGGTACTGTCACAGCTTAATAGCACAGGCCCCTAACATCAAGATTGAGCAATCAAAGTCGATCCTCAGTCTACCAAGTCTCGCTTTGGAGCAGTCATTGTGATCAATCTTGCAACATCACCCGCGAGACATCCGTGCGGTCGTGGTCCATGCCGTTGCATCGACAACCAGAGGCCAGATCAGATCTCCTGGTGAGATGGCGGCAGTTCGTTGAGGTTTTCTCGGGATTGGGCCCGGCAGAGATTGAAAGCTCTAAGATGTTATTACGCCCGCCTCCTGAAGCGCCCCGGCTCACTTCCTATTATTGTTTTAGAAACAGTTGCGATTCATCCGTTCGCCTCGTCTATAACTTGTTTGTGTTCCGTTTCCCCCAATTCCAAAAGCCTAAGTTGTCTTCTTGCCAGCGGCTTCTTCTCTCAGCGTTCATCCTGGAACGTACCAACCGTTGCCACACATCGCCATTTCCGTTCAGGGCGAGGTCAATATCAGATCACCTCGAGGCTTCCGTTCCCTTCGTAGTGGCCATCGAGACCTTGAGAGTGTTGACACTCACACCATTTGCAAATCCATCAGAGTGAGGTACGCTCTTTTCTTTCGACCTACAGTGAGTGCCCTTCGGTTCAATTCACTGATTTGACACGGCCAGAAACATGTCTCATTTCGACCCGTTTCGGCAGACGTTCGAACTCGTCAAGGCAGATGGCAATATCATAAAGGTCGATGTCGCCGTTCTTGATTCCGCCAATCAGGAGAATCTCGGAATCTGTACAAATTACGGTTCCCAAATCGGCGCGAGTTTCATGATGCTTCTGACTATCGTTGCTATGACACCATCGATCAAGCTCATCAAAGTTTCCCTTTGGATCCACATCCTTGCCCTCGTTGCAAGCACCATTCGTATGACGCTACTCGCTGTTTATTTCACCTCAAACTGGACCAACTTCTACGCTTACTGGGCCCAAGATTACTCTCGGATCACGGCTGGGGACTTCCACCGAAGCGTCGCAACGGAGACCATGTCCCTGATCCTACTGATTCTAGTCCAGGTATCGCTCGGTATCCAGGCCTGGGCTCTCGTCAACCTGCTGCCAAGATACTGGAAGTGGTTCTTCACGGGGCTTTCCTGTTTTGTGTCCACCGCCGCCATCGCTTGGCGTATAGCATTCAGTGTCATACAAGTCGAGGCCATCCTGCTCATTACGTTGCCCAACCCGGACTGGATCCGCTACCAAAGCACCATTATCGGCGCAGTTTCCGTATTCTATTATTGCGCTCTGTTCAACATCAAGCTTCTGATGCACTTGATCAAAAACCGTGGAATTCTTCCCACGAGGCACGGACTGAACGCAATGGAGGTGTTGGTGATAACGAATGGTCTTCTCATGATGATCCCAGGTAAGCTAGCTCCGAGGGTCGCCACTTCAAGCAACCCGTCGTATCCCACAACTACCCAGAGAACCTGCTGACATACCGAGACAGCAGTCTTTGCCGCACTAGAATGGGGTCATTGGACTAATTTTGAGTCGGCTTCTGTCACGTACACGTCTGTGGTTGTGTTTCTGCCACTGGGAACCCTGGTTGCTTCTCGTATCTCAAGCAACACATCGCAAGCCGAAGGCCAGAGAAGCTGTTGCACATGTTCCAATACACCCTTGAGGCTGTGCTCCACGAGCGGCCTTTTCAACAACCATGGAAGCGCACAAGGGGGAGTTGTCACCTCGCATATAGAATCGTCACGCCCGGGTTACCGGGGTGACTCGGTCGATCCGATTGATGCCGAGTTGCAGCGCATCGAAGACTGCGAGAAGGGAATTATTCGCGTCAACCGAATCGTTGAACTCCACGAGGAACGAGTGTGATTACAGACAAACCTGGATATGGCCAGGCCTGGAGGAGGCAGCGGGCACTTTCAACACGCTTGACGAACAAATGTTTGCGATTTTCCATCACAGGAAGTCGTTGGGTATCTACTACTTTATTTAATTGAGCATTGAGAAGGATGCCGTTTACTTTATTACCTACGCAACCCAGCTAGCGTTCAGCAACAGCAAGATCTGTCCTTCCATTCATCAACAAGTGAGAACATTTGCTCTTGCCTCACTGAGCGCCCAGCCACAACTGGAAGGTCCGATAGAGGGTTAAGATCTGTCGCGGAAGGAGGAGATGGCGAGTCGCCGATGCGGCCGACACGCGACACCTCCTTGGATTATGCTTTCTGAACTCCGGCATACTATCCAGTCCAATGGACTTGTGAAGCCCCCAAAACTACCTGCCGCATCTTTGACTGCCCGACTTGCCCCAGAGCCTTCGCTACAATGAATGGAGAACCTAAGGTCCCGTTCGTCCAGACAAGGAACCAGGAAACCGAAGAGGTTGGCTATGATCTGAGGCCCGCACCCCTTCGACTGTCCCCCAGGAGCAGGGACACGCATGCACCTCGACTATCAAACGAACATCATAGCCAACTATACATGGCGCCTGCGGAGTGTGGCGGCGAAGTAAAGTCATCCAAGATCTCGCCAGCTTGTGGTCTTGCTGCTATTGTGTCCAAGTTCGAGATTCTGGAGGCTATGACCAACCTGGAGAAGCCTGAGATATCGACTACTGTAAAGGCAGGTCCCAGAACGCCTCGCAAGATACCTCGACATCATTCGAAGCACATGATGGGCGAGAACATGGATCCAAGTCTGGAGTCTAGCCAATTCTCGTCTGGCGATATATCCGCCCCTGAATGGCATAATCATTATCGGGAGAGACAGTGGATGCCAGATACTTCCACTTCTACAATGGTCAACACAAGATCCAGGGACAAAGGGCCAAGCACCGCGGGAGGGATTGCGACGGGGAGTATGCACAACATTGTAGCAGAGAGGCGGCAGATTTTTGAGTCTCGGACGGGTAAGATAATCCATCTTTCATGCTTTGGAAGACGATATCATTTACTGACACGGGCGTAGGGTGTCATACTATGCCTAGCAAGTCTGCAAGCATGCCTTTCAACCTGTATGGCACTAGCCTCTCGGGGTCAAGCCCGCCGTTGACAATGAAACTACGGCGATCCAAGACATATTGGACCACAGCAATGGAGTCAGACAGCCTCTCGGAAGCCTCGAAATCCCAAATTGGGATTCAAAATGGACTTCAGAATACAAACAATCAAGCCTCGACAAATTCAAGGGAACAAACCGCAGCTACAGTAGATGTACAAGCCGGCGGCCACGATCCGCTTCTTATGCACAGCAGTGAGGCTCCAAGAAGCAGATCGAAGGCAACCACAGCAATCAAGCCAAGGAGCAAGCTGTTTGGTGCTATCGATGCACTATTTTCGCGCGAGGTCAGCCTGCATTCGTCGAAGGAACAGCTAGAGCTGCCTCCCAGTCCGAATATTCGATCAAATCAGGAGTCAGGGGAGGGATGGGAAAACGACGGTGTATTACAGTGTCCAGGATCAGTAGAGCAATCCTTCCCAGCCCAGATCCACGCCCCTCACCAAGCCCGCAGAGAAGCGGAATTCAACACCACAGGCAACGCCACCACGGTCACGTATCCCAACTTCAGGGGAACGGTGATGAAGACTGTCCAGAGCCGGGTCACTAATCTACGGAATCTCTTGAACATGACTGCCAAGGAAGATGACGAGCTGCAACTCGACTTGCGTCTGAAGCGCCGCCACACTGGACCACAGAGAAACCAGTCCATTCATCGTTCTCATGCGCCAAATCATTCATTCGACTGCGATCGCGAATTCAGGCTGGGTTTCATGGTTGATTCGCCTGACCCACCGCGATATTTGCGAGAATATCAGAGTGCCCGGGTCTCCAGAGATTCGACGCGATCCTCGCTGAAAGATCATATCAGCGCCTTCGAGTCGCTCTCTCGCTCCAGGTTCGAAATATCAGAACCGAAACGGGGAACACTGAGGAAATTACAGTTGACTCCTGCGCGCAATGACGAAAGAGAAGAGCACCCAGAGAGACGTCCTGTTAGTCGGCGATTCGAATTCGAAAGCCTTGGTTTCAAGCAAGGTCGGGAGGTTTGGAGGAAACTATCAGCATCTTGGGACAAAAGAAAGCCAGCTGATGATAGCCTCGACAAGCACGAAGACTGGCATGGCTCGATCGCCGCTTCTCCAGGTCTGCCGACGACTTCTCGACCACAGGAAGGGGAAAATACTACGGGTCGCAGGCTCGGCTCTTGGCTCCCAAAAATGGCCAAAAGTGCCCAAGATAAGACGTTGATCTCTGCTGCAAGCCTGAATTCGACGAGAGCATGGCAGCCAGACCTTCCTGCGCGAAAGAGCATGCCTGCAATAGCCACAGAACAAGACGGCGAGGTAGGGATTTCGAACCTCAAAAGCGTTCCATGCAAGGAGCAGTTGGGAAATCTCCCAGCATGCACAACGGGACCGATCATCGAGACAACCTGCATCTCGGCTGAGATACCCCCTCGCCCTGTTTGCGGTTCAAGATAGGACGTGAGGTTCACGTGCAATGAAACACCAATGAGGGAGGATGACCAGCGGAGCCCGTGGGGAAACTCGTCGTAGCCAAGACTGAATGGGGTCTTCCTAAGCAGATGATCCCCATCAGTGGATGAGATGCAGAACGCGATCAATCTTGACGAGGAGACGGGCAGCATCGACAGAGCTGGAGCGACACAACGCATGCATACTCAGGCATTTCTAAATTGGGCAGGAGATCGCCTATGTGTGTATTACATGTTGGACTGGCAATAACGCGCCTCCAAGTGAGATGGGTCCGTAGGAACTACCAAGAGGATTTTGTGGTGTTTGCGCTCTTGGAAGTCGATGTGCGGCATCATTACTGCTTGAATGGGGGAGGCACCAAACGAGTCGGGGGCGGGGGGATGAGTGTCTTTGGTGCGTTTCGTGACGACAGGCGTCAAAGTTATATTTGATGCAGGAACAGAAGCACTATAGTCTAGCTATGCTGCTAGTCCCATCCCTTTTCCTATCTTGCGCACCAGTGCTTTCTTCAAATACCACTCTCTTGCTAAAGAGCGAGTTGTCTTGGCAAAAACTGCAGGTGATATACGACCACGCTCAACAGCACGGCCTAACACAAATATGGTATCACCTATAGCCTTTTCTTCAGCCACAAGATTGTACAGCTGATTGGCTACAATGGTGGGAGCTACTAGCAATTCATCAATATCCGGGGCCGTTTGACGAGCGGAGCCTTCAATAACGGTGTCGGCCTTCCGTAAAGCATCAACGAGGATATTTGCGTTAGACTGAAGCAGGGCTGATGTCTGGCTGATAGTGCCCATCTCGGACTGGAGTGTTGAGAAGGCGTTCAGCATGGCTGTGCGTTGCGCTTGAAGGCCTGCCATGCTGTTCTCGTTCTGCTGGCGACTCCGTTGGCGGAGAGAATGGAGCGTTTGAGCCAGCTGATGCAAAAGTGCGTCCTTTTCCGGGTTTGGAGGAATTGGTGGCGCGGATACAGAGGATGGAGACGGAATGCTAAGGGTGAGAGGTTCATCGAGCAGATCGGGAGGGGGTGCCGCCTTGAGCGCTTGCTGCTGCAGTGGCGGGTGCTGTTGTGGGTGCTGTTGCGGCAGCGGTTGGTATTGTCCGGGAGCCGGTTGCCAGCCCGGGGGAGGCCCACCATACTGCTGGGCGGGCTGCGAAGGAGGCGGGACGGGTGCAGAATACCGATTATCCGAAAGGGATGACTGGCTTTGGGTCGCGTCAGGGCGTGTCTGCTGCGGCGGCCGAGGTGGGAGCTCGCCTGTTGATCGCGGAGACGGCGCCACAGCATGGTGCGGGTGTTGAGGGATGGCGGCTGGCGGTAGAGGTGGTGCAGAATCATAGCGAGAATAGCCTTGGCTCTGGGGCTGCTCCGGCTGCTTTCCGTGGAGGGCTGTGCGGTCAACACCCGGTGGTAGAGGTGGAAGAGGAGGGCCACTTCTAGCATCCAGAGGAGGCGGAGGGCCGCGATAAGGTGGCCCAGTGCCAGACGGTTTGGGCGGTGGTGGAGGAGGATGTGAATTGCTCACGGGCGTCTGCGTCGTCGGACGATGGGTTGCATGGGAAGGTAGGTCTGGCGGCAGTGGGGGAACGGGCGGTGGTGTTTGGCCGTGAGACTGCGAAGGAGAGGCAGAAACGGGAGGCGGCTGCCGTCCTTGGGGACGAGCAATGACGGGGGGCTCCTTGGCAAATATATCTCGGAGGATCGCTAGGAAGTCAAGAATGGTAGATTTCTGGAGGGGAAAGTGTCAGAAAGGCTGGGAGGGTAGGTGAGCAGGAAGGATGGATACACATACATCCCAGAACGCGGACCAGCCCACCAGGTAAGGGTGATAGACCTGGCCTTGAGGATCTACGTGTTGGCCAGGACGAACCATCATGGACTCGGTGGGGGTCACGTAGACCAAAGGGGCCTCTCGGGGATATGCGTGAGGAACCCATACTGAGATGGGGAATCGATATGTCGTGCCTCTGAAGATGACCGGTACTGTGCCTGTGAGGTGGAGGAGAAGGGCGGAGATGCCGGTATCGAAAGCTGGATGCGGTGTCAGAATCGATTGTGTGAGGCCGACGAGGCGACAAAGGAGGACTAGAGGGGTCATACTGTGAACATCGGTTCGCGGTGACAGCGATGGGTACTGCGACAGAGCTTGGGCGACATCGTTGTATGTGCGGTTTACGTCATGGTACTCCTGTGATGGAACGGGTTAGCAAAGACATGACGGGGAACGAGAGGGGGCAAGGCGTGCGTACGCTTGTGAGAACACTATAGAGCCAGTTCAGAACATGCTGTTGAACAGGCATGGTGATGTTCTGAAGGAGAGATCTGGCAGCAGAAACGAAAGTGTTCAGGCAGCGCGAAGAGCGGGGACAGCGGGGGAATGCGAACGGTGACAATGCATGTCGGTAGCACGGGGTCGGATGCAGCGGTGCGAGTGCACCGCGAGGCGTGTTGAGACGGCCGGAACAGACGGTCGACGGTCGGCGGTCGGGGATGGGGGCGGCGGACAGGTAGGGCGGAGGAGGGCGGAAGGAAGCAGCGGCAGGTGGTCGTTGGGAGATTCCGATATTGACCTTGCCCGGGATCGGGGGAGAGATGACGCAGCTCAGCTCCGTAAGGTAAGGTACCGAGTGTTCGCAGGTCCTCTAAGGTAAGTGGACAAGCGTAGGGGGAGGGGGCACCTTAGGCGCCTTACCTAATATTACCCAGCTCTGTTGCAGAGATCCTTGCTGCCTTTGGGACCTTGATGGACGACGTATCGGATGTGGACCCGACTCGATGGAATAACTTCGCTCTTATTCCCTGTGTCTAAGTGCTATCAAGATTGAAGTCTATGTTCAGTCTTCTGAGATTAACTTATGACGATAATTGCCTGCAATGCCTCCTTCATAGAAAAACCAACATCAGCAAATCTAACTTGGAACGGGGCGTTGTTCTCATGACGTTAACACCGGCGGAAGATAGGTACTTGATGGACTATGGAACACCCGCTGGACCGGCCGGCCTCGGAGGCACCAAGGTAAAGCTGGATAGGACAATCCTACAGTGGTCGGGTCATGCAAGCATCGGACCATGCGGATGGATGCACAACTTCGATGAGTTGGAATCTTCCACTTTCGATTGTCCGGTGGTCCCGGTTGCGACTGCTTTCTCATATGTTCCTGCTCTTTACCCCTTCTCCAATCCTTCCGCCCCTTTGAATGCTCTAGTTGCTAAGGCAGGTCCAGTGCGCTACGGTAAATCCCGAACAATGTCCCTTCTTGGTTTGTAAGCTAAGAGAAGCAGAATGGGATCTGGTTGACAGGAGTCGTAGCCACCATTTCATCTGCTAACTGCGCTCCAAAGTCGACATGTAACCCACTTATGCTTGCTTTGCTGCATTGCCAGCTTGCCGCAATCCCACGTCTGCGATCAGACGTTGCCGAATGTACCCCGCTAATCCGCAAAATGTACACAATGTACCGCCTACGTTTCACCTCGAGCGCCAGCCCCTCCCAAGGTAACAAAAATGTCATGTGTAAATCACTCAGCCTAAGCTAATGACTTACTTCTCCCAAGACAGTGTTTTAGTGTACGTACCATGGATGCTGCCAGTCAGTTGTGGTCTCGAGGGAAGACCCTGGCCCTTTTTTTTTTTTTTTTTCTTTTTTTTCTTTCCCTCCCTCCCTTCCCTCCTTCCTCCGTCCAATCCCACTTGCCCACTCAACAGAACGGGGACTGTTGCGCGCATTAATAAACGTCTTCTCTCGCAACTCTTCTTTCCTTTCTTACACTCCCACTCCCCAAGTTCGATCTCTCTGCTGCTTCCCAGAAGTCTTTGTAATCCCACTCCGTTTCCCGATTGAATGCTCGCAACACCAAGGATCTTTCGCACGGCTGAGGAGTATTCCAGAGCCATTATCTGGATACTCCTTGCGTCAGGACCTTGTTAAAATACTGTCTCGAAAACACGCCACCATCAACTTTACATTGTGCCTCCAGATAAGCCGCGCAGCTTTCTCAACACTCAATTTGTTGACTCTGAGCCTACGACGTTAACTCAGTCAGCTTCTATCACACTTCCATCTCTCCTATACCTGAGAGCTAAGCGCCGGAATTCATTATGCTTCCACCCATCCCCGTCTTGTCCGATTACGGAATCTCGCCAAAACATGGATTCCTTCCAGACGTTCTGCCGTTGACCCGACTGCCGGATCCCTACTATAATAAGTGGGAGGCAGTTGTTGCCAACCTTCAAGCTCTGGTTCTAAGCCGTCGCCTTCGCCCGGTTGTCGACCGCTTGCCAGTCCTCTCCACCATCGGTCTGGAACATGACGCAGAATGGCGGAGAGCCTACTCCCTGCTGTGCTTCATGGCACACGCGTATGTTTGGGGTGGCGATGAACCATGCGACCAGCTGCCCCCGGCCATTACCATCCCGCTCCTTGAGATTTCCAACCATCTGGAGCTACCTCCCGTAGCCACCTACGCTGCCCTCTGTCTGTGGAACTTCAAGCCTCTTTTCGTCGACGAAGACATCGATAATCTCGAGAACCTAGCCACCCTGAACACCTTCACCGGTTCGCTCGATGAATCCTGGTTCTACCTTGTCTCCGTGGCTATTGAAGCTCGCGGGGCTCCAATCATCCCGCTCATGCTGGATGCTGTTGCTGCCGCTCGACAAGAAGATGCTGCCACCGTCACTCATAGCCTGCGTGCTTTTGCGGAACGCATGACAGATTTGACCAATATCTTGCAGCGCATGCATGAAAGCTGCGATCCCAACATTTTCTACAATCGCATCCGAATTTTTCTCGCAGGCAGCAAAAACATGGCTGAGGCTGGGCTTCCAGACGGTGTCAACTACGCCGACGGCTCCGGCAAGGAGGATTATCGCCAGTACAGCGGCGGTAGCAATGCACAGAGCAGTCTCATTCAGTTCTTTGACGTTATCCTTGGAGTTGACCATCGTCCGACCGGCGAGAAGCGTGATCCCTTCTCCGAGTCGGAGCGTGAGTCTCGAGCCCCTGTTCCGCAGCACAACTTCATCATGGAAATGCGCCGCTATATGCCAGGCCCGCATGCACGCTTTCTCAAGGATGTCGCCGGTGTCGCCAATATCCGCGAGTTTGTCGAAAGCCACAAACAGGATCGTCAGCTTTGTCTGGCGTATGATGCTTGCCTGGCAATGCTGAGTGCGTTCCGTGATAAGCACATTGCCATCGTCACTCGCTATATCATTCTACCCTCGCGAGAGGTGCGCGCCCGAAGCAGGTCGAGAAGCCCTGAGGCCGCACGCCAGCGAATGAACTTGGCCGTCGCTTCGCGGCAGCGCCAATCTAATGCTCAGGGAAACAACCTGGAAGCTACCGGGAAGAATAAGAAATTGACAGGCACTGGCGGGACCGCACTCATCCCGTTCTTGAAACAGGCGCGAGATGAGACTGGTGAGCCGGCCATCGAGGAATGGACTCGCCGCTTTATGAAGAGAACGAACAAGCCGGAAGGCAAGGGAGACTTCTTCCTGGGCAAGTCAGACTTGCCTGGTCCCGGCGTCGAAGTTGAGGTCAGCGGTCTGGCCGGTACCTGGACTGTCGATGATGATATTGGCGCCATTTGTCACTACTAACATGACTGACTGCCTCGCCGAGGACAACAGTTGGCGTGAAACCCAACGCGCTGCCATGGCTAGGTTTACGTAGTACCTCTTGAGGACTTGAATTCATGTTATATTTGTCGCATTATCCTCCACCGCCGAGACTGTGAGGTGCATCGTGGTGACCTGGTCTTTCCGTGCTCGTTACACTTGCCCATGAAGTCTGTGCGATGCCAGACATCCTTTTTGCTAACAACAGTGCCGGATGACGTTGCGAGTAAAGAGTGCGGAGAGAAGCATATTTGTTTCTGTTGGCGGACACTGTCAAATTTCTGGAGACTCTTGCATGGCTTTGGGCTAAGCAGGCCCCCACAGATCTTGTTGCGACTGAAACAAACACCTTGTTGTGGCCGGCCAGTCAGGCCAGATATGGGACAAAAGCATCGAAGCTTGTGACGTTCGAATACTCATTTCGACCGCTGACGGAGCCCTTGAATTGCCGAAAAGGATAACGCAGAATTCTACCTACGTATTATGCTGAGTGCAGTAGGAGTAACATACAAACTATGAATACCTGCCATACTTATCCGGAATGGGCAGCAGCTTCTCTCACAGTCCGTAACATCGAAAAGCTCGAAACTGCCCAGATTCGCTTATGCATCTATGTGGCCGGTCCTACCCCACATCCAGGCACCACAACAGCGCGGAACGATCTTGATGCCAATACTTTGTAACAGCGTCACATGTACACGGGGAGAGAGTGAGGTGAAAGTATGACTTTTTGGTCGACTGACACTGGTAAGAACCTGCTTGAAATGGCTTTGACATAATGACCAAGGGATGATCTGACCAACACTCGTTCAAATTTATGCGGTCATTGATAGATCATTGAAAGCTCCGATTCTTCATTAGGCAGCACAGTTACGAGTAGCCATTTCGCTCTCATAGTCACTCTCGAGTTGGAAGTCGACACGGAAGTCATTCTAGTCGCGAGTGAGTACTCACGAAATCTAAGGAAAAGTAAGTCATGACGCCAATCTTCTACCAGTCTAATCAGGCCTCTCAGCATCAGAAGAGCCTGGAATCTCGGATGGCGGCGGTCAAGACCTGTTGTTCACGCAGGTATCTGAGTCAGGTAAGCCACGTGACTGAGGAGCTCTTGTGGACCCCTACATAAGGTAGGTAGGTAGCTCACTGGGTGGCGACAGTGCCTGCCTCAGTAGCAGTAAAGTCGGCCACCTAGTCCTGAAAAAGACTAGCGCGCCCCCTACCGCGTTCTGAGGACTTTGATGCTACCCATCAACGTCTTCTGCCTGCGACGAGACTGAAAAAAAAACACCACCCAGCGAGGCTGCTCTTGCTCTGTCTCGACCAACAACGAAATAACAACGACCACAACCCGCCTGCGTCGCGATCCATCATACTCACACGCTCTTGGAGCACTTGATTCGCGAACGTTCGGACTTGTCTTTCGTCCCCCGGCTTGCGAATGCTCCTGCTGTGCGAGGGAGGCAAATCCGCCTGGGCTCTGTGTCGTGATTCTTAATCACCTTCGACTCCCTTTCGCTCATCTTTTCGGATCGATCGCAACCCCGGCACCAAGCAAGCCTCGATTCGCTTCCTTCAAATATCGCCCGGTTGGACCTCGTCCTTTGCCTCACCACCAACGTTCCTGCCGCCTCCGTACACCCAACCGTCGCGCATCCGTCACCAAATCACTTCAGCATCGGAGTGCTACATACGGCCTGCCCACTAACCTACGAAAGCAATCTCAAAAAGATCATCCCCCGAAATACCTTCACACTCCGCCAACATGGCTGACGCATACGACGAATACGACTACGATGGCTACGTCGAGGAAGATGAAAGCATCACTCCCGAGGATTGTTGGACGGTGATCTCATCATTCTTCGAGTCCAAGGGTTTGGTTTCGCAGCAGGTGGACTCCTTCGACGAATTTACATCTTCCACTGTTCAAGAACTCATCGATGAGTATTCACAAATCACCCTCGACCAACCGAATCCCATGTCGGACAGCGACAAGGTTATTGCCCTTCGCCGATACGAGGTCAAGTTTGGGACCGTCATGGTCTCGCGGCCGTCCATCACCGAAGCTGATGGCAAGGTCACGACCCTTCTGCCGTACGAATGCCGCGACCGAAACCTCACTTATGCCAGCCCTCTGTACGTCAAAATTACGAAGAAGGTATCTATTGCGGTTGAGAAGCCCATACCGCTGAACGAGCTCGACGAAGAACAACAAGAAGAGCTTGCCAACACTGGTGAGCATCCCACCAAGCTCGAATGGGAGGAAGAGGAGAGTGGAGAGGACTACGGTGCAGACAAGAACAAGTCCGACGATATGAAGGACATGATCTTCATCGGGCGCATGCCCATTATGGTGAAGTCAAAGATTTGTCACTTGAGTAGTGAGCAGGAGGACGATCTCTTCATGCTGAACGAATGTCCGTACGACCAAGGTGGCTATTTCATCATCAACGGCAGTGAGAAGGTTCTTATTGCCCAAGAGCGATCTGCGGCAAATATCGTCCAAGTTTTCAAGAAAGCCCAGCCAAGTCCCTATTCGTACACTGCCGAGATTCGCAGTGCACTTGAGAAGGGTTCACGCCTCATTTCGAGCATGATGTTGAAGCTTTACAGCAAGGGAGACGCTGCGAAGGGCGGATATGGTCAGACCATTCACTGCAGTCTCCCTTACGTCAAGTCCGATCTGCCAATCGCTATTGTCTTTCGAGCGCTGGGAGTGGTGTCCGATGAGGATATTCTAAATCATATTTGCTATGATCGAAATGACAGCCAGATGCTCGAGATGCTGCGACCCTGCATTGAGGAGGCCTTTTGCATTCAAGACAGGGAGGTTGCTCTCGACTTCATCGGTAAGCGAGGAAGTAACCATAACATTCCGCGCGAGAAGCGTGTGAGGACGGCGAAGGACATTTTGCAAAAGGAGACTCTGCCGCACATCTCCCAAAGCGAGGGTAGCGAAACCCGCAAGGCCTTCTTTTTGGGCTATATGGTTCACAAATTGCTTCAATGCGCTCTTGGACGACGCGACACTGACGACCGCGATCATTTTGGCAAGAAGCGCCTCGATCTTGCTGGTCCTCTGCTTGCCAAATTGTTCCGCAATATCGTTCGCCGCATGAACCAGGAGCTTTCCGGCCACCTCAAGCGTTGTGTTGAATCCAACCGACAGTTCAGCCTGACGCTCGGTGTCAAACCCCAAACTCTGTCCAATGGATTGAAGTATTCTTTGGCCACGGGTAACTGGGGAGACCAGAAGAAGGCTGCAAGCTCAACGGCCGGTGTGTCTCAGGTGTTGAATCGCTACACTTTCGCATCTACCCTCTCTCATTTGCGTCGTACGAACACCCCCATCGGCCGTGATGGCAAGCTGGCAAAGCCTCGACAACTCCACAATACTCACTGGGGTCTGGTTTGTCCCGCCGAAACGCCCGAAGGACAAGCTTGTGGTCTCGTGAAGAATCTTTCGCTCATGTGCTATGTCAGTGTCGGCACACCCGCCGAGCCCATCATTGACTACATGATTCAACGAGGCATGGAAGTGCTTGAAGAGTATGAGCCACTGAGATACCCCAACGCCACCAAGGTTTTCCTCAACGGAGTGTGGGTGGGAGTTCACCAGGACCCTAGAATTCTCGTACCGGATGTCCAGGGAACTCGTCGACGAAACGTCATTTCCCACGAGGTCTCTCTGGTACGTGACATTCGAGACCGCGAATTCAAGATTTTTTCGGATGCTGGTCGAGTGATGAGACCGGTGTTCGTCGTGGAACAAAGTCCGACAGGTATCGTCCCTCAGGGCTCCCTGGTTTTGCAGAAAGGAACAGTCAACGAGATGCGTGATCAACAAGAAAACCCGCCCGATAATCCAAACGACAAGATCACCTGGGAAACGTTGGCCCATAGCGGAGTCATTGAATATCTCGACGCGGAAGAAGAGGAGACGGCCATGATCTGTATGACGCCCGAGGACTTAGAGATATACCGACTGCAGAAACAGGGACAAGTCATTGAAGAAGATAACGCGGACGACCGAAACCGGCGACTGAAGACAAAGATCAACCCAACGACGCACATGTACACGCATTGCGAAATTCACCCCAGTATGCTGCTGGGTATCTGTGCCAGCATCATTCCCTTCCCTGATCACAACCAGGTACGTTGCAGGTCTAAGCAGCTGCATGTGGGCGCACTAACAATTTCCTAGTCTCCTCGTAATACTTATCAATCGGCCATGGGAAAGCAAGCCATGGGCTTTTTCCTGACAAACTATTCTCGCAGGATGGACACGATGGCAAACATCCTGTACTATCCTCAGAAGCCGCTCGCCACGACCCGCTCTATGGAATTCTTGAAGTTCCGAGAGCTTCCTGCCGGTCAAAATGCCATCGTCGCCATTGCTTGCTACTCGGGCTACAACCAGGAAGATTCCGTGATTATGAATCAGAGCAGCATCGACCGTGGCCTGTTCAGGAGTCTCTTCTTCAGGTCCTACACGGACTGCGAAAAGCGCGTTGGTATCAACTTGGTCGAGCAATTTGAGAAGCCGTTCAGGAGCGACACCCTCCGTCTGAAGCACGGTACCTACGATAAGCTCGACGACGATGGTATTGTTGCACCGGGTGTCCGTGTTTCTGGAGAGGACATCATCATCGGCAAGACGTCCCCAATCAACCCTGACAACCAGGAGTTAGGCCAGAAAACAACACAGCATGTCAAGCGTGACGCATCGACGCCTCTTCGCAGTACAGAGAACGGCATTGTGGACTCGGTCATTATTACGACTAACCAGGATGGTCTTCGCTACGTCAAGGTCCGTGTCAGGACTACCAAGATTCCTCAGATTGGTGACAAGTTTGCGTCCCGCCATGGTCAGAAGGGTACGATCGGTGTCACATATCGCCAAGAGGACATGCCATTCACCGCTGAGGGCATCACCCCCGACATCATCATCAACCCCCACGCTATCCCCTCCCGTATGACTATTGCTCATTTGATCGAGTGTCTGCTAAGCAAGGTGTCAACCTTGAAAGGCATGGAGGGCGACGCCACACCATTCACGGACGTGACTGTCGACTCGGTTTCACAACTTCTTCGTGACCAAGGCTACCAATCAAGAGGCTTTGAGATCATGTACCAGGGCCATACGGGCAGAAAGTTGCGTGCTCAAGTCTTCTTTGGCCCGACCTACTATCAGCGCTTGCGTCACATGGTCGACGACAAAATTCACGCTCGTGCGCGTGGTCCAGTCCAGATTATGACTAGACAGCCAGTCGAAGGTCGTGCTCGTGATGGTGGTCTGCGGTTCGGCGAGATGGAGCGTGATTGCATGATTGCACACGGTGCTGCGTCTTTCCTTAAGGAAAGATTATTCGAAGTTTCCGATGCTTTCCGAGTCCACGTATGCGAGATTTGCGGATTGATGACACCCATTGCGTAAGTTGCTCCCTCACGAAAGCTTAAGATGTCATGCTTACTTGAAACAGAAACCTCTCGAAGCAGTCATTCGAGTGCCGACCCTGCAAGAATAAGACCAAGATTGCGCAAATCCATATTCCCTACGCGGCCAAGCTGCTCTTCCAGGAACTGCAATCCATGAACATTGCAGCGCGCATGTTCACCAACAGATCGGGCGTGTCCATTCGGTAAAACAAAGGGCTTTCTATGGTGGTGTGGCATGTTGATGAACGTGAGAAGACTTCTCAGGTTGGGAAGCGCAGTGGTTGGGAAGCGCAGTGGTTGGGAAGCGCAGTGGTTGGGAAGCGCAGTGGTTGGTTGCGTTCGGCGTCTTGATGGGTTGGTGTCATTGGAGGGCCCCGTTCCGAATTCTTGGCGGACGACAGACTGGCAATTCAGCCCTCATATGGTTTTGTACTAACGATTTGTACTACAAACGGGACATTAAAAAACAAGATATAGGCAGTTGAAAATATCATTACTGCCTGGACCCTGAGCATTTTTGGTGCAAATGGGAAGGTAAAGAGATATAGTACATAATGTGACACCAAACAAAGTCACTTTGCAACTAGGTGGTGTCGACGGTCGTTCGAGGAACACCTGAACCCACAAAAGCCGATGGCGGGACCTCTAGGTATGCAAGAATGCGCCAAACCTCCGGGTATCTCTCTATGCGCTCCCGTATTCCCGCCACCAAATAGCGTGGCTTTTCCATCGGTCCTTTGCCATATGTAGCTTCAGCAATCAGGTGTGGACGGAATGTTTCGTTACACGGCTGCATGGCGACTTTATTCTTGACGAATCCTTTGACTGCAAGTTCCATCATCAGGAGCCATTGCCACTACCACCGGCACCGACGATGGGTGGTATTGTGGCGTCTCGAACTGTTTGCTCTCGCTTGTATTCTTCCTCGAGGGCACGCTGGATGTCGAAATCAAGCTGTCGCTCTTTCTTGACGCGCTGTAATTCTATGTCGCGCACAACGCCTTGGTGCATAGCCTACAGCATGGAACGTTTAGTCTTCATAGCCCTCGAATCACTAGGGGTGTTTTGGGAATCATCGGGACGGGCAGCCTACCTCCTTCTCGAACTTTTGCTGGAAATGTACGATGATGATGGTACTGGCGGCAAACAACGAAGTCGCCGCAAGAGTGAGCTTAGAGGCCCGAGACATGATCCGCAGAGTAGCGATTGCGAATTCCCGTGATATCCAGATCTAGAATTAAATTTCTGCGCGAGTGAAAGCACTGCGAGTTGCAAATCCCAGGAGAAAGTGGTCTTATGTCGGGGTTTGACCGTCGTCCGCAAACCTGGCGAAAGTGATGTCGGTTGGTTGCGGCCTCTGATAAGATAAGACTTTTCGATCGAAGCCAGGCACCTCACCGTGGACAAGCACAGGCCGCGGCAGAGCTATGGAGGCAGGTACCTACCTACCTACCTAAGGTACCTTGGGAACTCATGTGGGGCAACTTCCAGATGCCTGCGACGCCGTGTGAGTACCTTTACATGGCGCGCTTCAGGCTGTGGCGGTGCAGTACAACCTTAGCTACGTACCTTCCTGCTCCTCTGACCTACCGGACCTGCACTCAGCGTCGACAACGTCGTCCTCAGCAACATAACTATCACGATCTGTTTCATCCGACATCTCTACTCCGCCCAATCACCTACACGTACCTTAGATTCACTTACCCTTCGACATATCCTGGTTGCAGCTGAACGTTGCAGCTGATAACAGCCAAACACGATGGTGAGCGCGACAGTCGCCGCGGACGTCATTCCTTCGGAGGACAGCGTGCTAATGTACTCACAGTCGGCCCAGAATTCGGCGGGTATCCAGACCCTCCTCGACGTAGGCGCATCTCTCTATGGCCTTCTACACGAATACGCCACTGATCACAAGAACATAGGCCGAGCGGGAGGCTTCCAAGATTGTCCAGAAAGGTACGTCGGATTCAAACCCCTCCCTCCCACACCCCCAATGTCTCTGCTAACATGTCACTGCCAGCCCGCGAGTGTATGTACATAACCAACTGACGCGCTGAATGCCCGCTTGCTCACCCTGAGATGCTATAGTCCGAACCAAGCGAGTGAAGGAAGCCCGCGACGAGGCCAAGAAGGAGATTGAAGCTTACCGCAACTCCAAGGAGGACGAGTTCAAGAAGTTTGAGTCTGAGGTACGACTGTGCAAGCCTCGTCAAAGGGCGTGTGAGTAGACTAACGATTTGAAGCATACCCAGGGCAACAAGCAGGCCGAGGACGAGGCGAACAAGGAGGCCGAGGGCAAGATCAAGGAGATCAAGGATGCTGGAAAGAAGAGCCAGGATAAGGTCGTTGCCGATCTCTTGAAAGCCGTTTTTGAGGTCAAACCAGTCCCTCCAAGCGCCGCATGAGGCAATACCAATACGCCACGCAGCTTATAGACACATCAACATGACGGGAGTGCAATGGAAAACGCATAGGGCTCGAAATCGACGACTGTCGTGAAGGGGTTGTAGAGACAGGTAGAGAATGGCACTGTTAAGAAAAATCAACCGATGTCACGCAACTGGTCGGAGAGAGATGTTTCCAGACTTCCAGAGAAACACACCGCATCACTCCATAGCTGTATAATTACACCTAGTTCATTTGCTTCACTGTAAAAAGTCCATCAATGTCGTGAGCATCTCCGCCAAGTCCTTGTGTTGGGGCTTTTCCAGATCCAAATCTTCCCGATACTCCTGCAATGTAGCTCTCACAGCCGCCAGGTCTTGACCATCCTTACCCAGCAGCTTTTGTATCCGCCTCTTGGCACCGGCATCCTCCGCGGCGAGCCATGCGAGGATGACATCGATAGCCCACACACTGTAAAGCCCTTCGTCGATCCTTTTCAGGAACCATTCTCCTTCGGACAGTTCTGCATCGTCCGCGCTCATTCTGCTTCGTTCTTTTTGAATTTCCTGGTCGGCTACGTCGAGCATTGACTTGTATGTCCTCCTGCAGTCGTAGAGTCGGTCCAACTTCTCGTACTCCCTCTCGACAAACTTCGCCAGCGTCCGGATCCTCTCGGCCGAGTTGGCGGGAAGAAACCGCAAGAGAGATCTGAAGATGTCAAACAAGCTCTCCATAACCATGCGCTGCTGTGTAGTCTTCTTGAACAAGGTGAAGAGAATCTTCAGGCCACCAGCTTCAACAATCTTCCGGCAAACCTCGCCGCTCATATCTCCACTGACGCTATGCACAAGAAGTCGCATCGACGGTTGCTTGCTCATCTTACCTTCCTTGAGCATAATCAAGCACAGTTCGATGCCTTCTGCTTCGAGGAATTTGAATTTGCCTTCCGGCTCATCAACAATGCAGACTAATGCGTTGAAGAGATTCTCCATGTACTCTTCCTCCTCGCCGCCTTTCTCTGGGTCGCGTTTGCGATAAGCCGATACCAGTTGCAGCAATACATCGACGGCGTCCAGCTCTGCCAGCCGACGGCGCGTTATTATCGATGTGTGCGCGATGATATCCAACAGCTCTGTAGCGTACTGTTTGTTCTGGGATACGGGGGACTCCTTACGCTGGGCCCTCTCCAACAGCCACCTGATCAACGACTCGTCCCTACCAACCGTTTCCGCGTTCGTCTTCTTGGACAGGAGGTTCTCTAGGACGCCAAGTGCATGGTACACCCCGCTGCGGTCGGACTCATCATCTTCATTTAGGCGAGAGAAGTTTGACACGAGAAGGCTAACCAGGTCTGCCTTCAACAGCGCATCCACCAGCATATCCCAGTCGTCGTCAGACGCATAAACGTCTTCGTCAGTGAGCTCACCGATAATTTCGACAGCATCAATGGCGATGTCGGTGTTTTCATGTGTCAGTAGCCCGGCAAGACTATCAACACAGCCCAACTTGACGAATTGAGGGTACAGGTCGGGATGCTCTGCTAAGATGGAGAGATCCTTGATGGCGGCATCGAGATCTGCCTCGCTCTCGATGAACTTTTGGGGTTCGTTGGCAAACTTGGCGCGCAACTCGGCGTTCTTCGTGATTCGCTTTTCGAAATTCAGGGCAGCTTTTCTGACCCAAGCAGCGTCGATCTTCTCAGAAGTGGCCGAGTTCTCGCCGCGGCCGTCCACGTAGTCCAGTATTTCGGATTCTTGTTTTGTGATCCCTCCGCCGAAGAATCGGCCTTCATCATCCTCGTCCGGGGGCATTTCGGGCCCGTAGTCGTCCGCGTCGTCGTCAGGTGGGGGAGCAGGTCCGGCGATATCATCATCATCGCCTTCTTCTTCCACTTGGGCATGCCGACTTATAGACTCGCTGGCGCTCAATTTGGCCGACTTGTATATTTCATCTGTCGTGTGTCAGTCCTGACCACGGGAAGATCAGTCTCTGGTAGGGCGGTTGCTTACTTGGGTCTCGTACAGCATCAAGCTTCCTTTTGCCAACGCCGCCGGAGCTCTGTTTCCGTCAGTTGAGAAGTGAAAACCAGGCGCAGTCCGAGCGACAGGCTTACTTTGAAGAGGTTATCAACATCGGTCATCTTTGCCAGGCAGCGATAGGCTCTTCAAAGGCGCTCGAAATGAAACCGCACAGGAAACTAACAGCCGCGCGTCAACGTCAAGAGCGCAACTTCGAAGGAGCCTCGTGAAAGATTGGAGAGTCGTGTAACGATCGAACCAGGTGACGGTGCAGGTATTTGCTGGAGCTCCAAGGCGCGCCGGCCTACCGTACCTTACGGATACCTAGGTCGCAGACCTGCAGCCCAGTGGGGCATGACAGGGGTCCCCATGAGTAACGGGTACGGATAAGTACGTACCTTGGCACTGAATACTCCATAAGCCTGAGGACCTTAGCTGCCTAAGTTATCATTTTCCGGAGCAGCACCGGTCCGCTACCGGAATACTGGACCACTTCTGACCCGGTTCCAATTCCAGTATCACCGTAGAATTGACCTTGCAAACTGACGAGACCAACTATACACGGGGGAGTTGTTGCGCGTGCCTTGCACTTCTTTGTTTGACATAATTTGGCTAGTATGGCGCCCACAGTCGTGCTCATTCGTCATGCCCAGGCACTGCACAACGTTGATGATGAGTAGTCCTCTTGATAAGCTCCTCTTACTTTGTGCTAACACATGGGCACAGAACTACTCGATCCACGACCCTGAGCTCTCATCACTGGGTGTAGAACAATGCAAGGAGCTACGTCAGAATCTTTCCCAAAATTTTGCCGACGAGACGGATGCCATCATCATTGTCAGTCCAATGAGGCGGACTATCCAGACAGCCCTCCTCTCGCTCGATTGGTTGATCAAGAATGGGGTGCCAATTCAAGCTGATGCTCGATGGCAAGGTAGGTGTAATCACACTTGAATTTAAAGCCTGCTCAGTAAGGTCTTGCAGGTAATATATCTAATCATCACTAGAAAACTCGGCAAAGCCGTGTGATACAGGAAGCTCAATCGCCGAGTTGAGTGTGGAATTCCCTGGCGTTGACTTCTCTTCTGTCGACCCCGTCTACCCAGACAAGACTTCTCCTGCTGGAGCCCAGTATTCCTACACCAAGGAGGCTATTCTCGGAAGAGCTCGATCATCCATCAACAGCATCTATGAGCGAAAGGAGAAGCTGGTTTTTGTGGTTTCGCACTCGGGTTTCTTGCGACTCGGGGTGACGGGGCACTGGTTCTTCAATGGCGACTACCGAGCATTCGAGCTTTATAAAGGCGATGAAGCTGATAGCAAGCCTGAGCTCCGACAGCTTCAGTCAACTGTCAGTGGCGGTCTAGGTAAATCCTGGACAGACCCTGTTGTCATTGGCTCTGACTTGCCGGTCCTGGAGAACTCTATTGCAGGCATTCAGAGCGACTGAGACTCGCTGTGTCAAGTTCGGGTTGCTTCAGATTGTGCCTCAGCAACTACGATGGCGTGAGTCCGAGGCAAAACTGCTATCGAAAGGCCGTATCGCAACCGATAATCCCCATGCGAAGATCAGGCTATTAAATGGATGCATGGTTTGTTGGTGAATTCGGGTGTTTTTTTATAAATTACATATTCGTACATCAGTAGCGCAATTGATCCGCGACGATTGTCCTCGGGTGCCACAAAGAGAACGCCAAGGCCTGCAGAGACGCAAGACTAAATCACCTGGCAAGAAAACTCTGGAAAGCAGACTGGTCAATGATGACATTGCCAACTGCGCGAAGGCGCTTGCGTCCCGCCTTCTGCTTCTCTAACAGTTTCTTCCGACGAGTGATATCGCTGGCGTGTAGTTTCGCAAGCACGTCCTTCCGGAATGGCTTGATGGTCTCGCGAGCGACAATCCGCCTACCGGCAACAGCTTGAATGACGACCTCTTTGAAAGTCACAGGTCAGTCTATTTTACCCACCGCTATGGTGGACCGATTGGACTTACCAAACATTTGGCGGTCGACATGTTCTTTGAACTTGGTGACCCACTGCCGACCAAGACGCTCAGCCTGAGAGGTATGAATCACCCGGCAGATAGCATCCACGGGCTGTTTGTTGACCAGAAGCTGCAATTTGGTGAGCTGACTCGCCCTCCATCCAGCCTCTTCATAGTCCAAGCTCGCATAGCCTTTCCTATTCCAGTTGTCAGCTTGTAACCTCCATCATTAGGGTATTCGAGACAACGTACGTGACGCCCTTGAGCTTGCCAAACAAGTCGTCGACAAGCTGGGCTGCAGGGATGTCATACTTGAGGATAACCTGCGTCGTGTGAAAAAACTCAAGGCTTTTCTGCTCGCCACGCTGACTTTCACACAATTCTATGACACGACCGAGGTACTCCTCGGGAAGAGTAATCGTGGCAGTCACAAACCTAGGTAGCTTTGTCAGAGGGATATAGGCGGGCAGGCAGTAGAGTCAATGAGGATGCTTACGGTTCGTATGCTGTTGCGCCGCGCATTCGGTGCTCGTCTTGACTGGGGAACTCAGCCGGATTCTGATATATCGTCTCAGACCCGTCGGCCCACCCGACTTTGGTTGGTACAGTCGGGTCTGTAATGATGATGCTAGCGCCATGCTCTTGCTTCAAACGATCCTGGAAGACAGAGCAATGTAAGCTACCAAGGAACCCCAAGCGCCAGCCCGCACCAAGAGCCTCAGAATAGTCTTTCTGCAATGTTACACTCCTGTCATTGAGCACTAACTGACTGATGCTGTCAGCGAGACGAGTATAGTCGCTCTGGTCAGTGGGAAACGCAGCCACGAAGACCATTGGTTTCGGCTCTTCAAAGCCAGGATATGGCTCGACAACAGCCTCTGACCCGGTTGTGGTGAAAGTATCACCCAACTTGGCGTCCTGGATACGCTTCATACCTGGGTTGAAGTGTATGTAGCCAACTTGGCCGGCGCGGAGAACACTTTGCGGGACGGCATTTGGATACTGAATACCGACTTCGCCAACAGTGTACTTTTGCCCGGTGGCAAAGGAGATGAGGTTGTCGCCAGCTTTAACCTGGCCATCGAATACACGAACCAAAAGTATGACGCCCCTGAAATTGTCGTACCAAGAATCCACAAGCAACATGCGAAGTGGTTTTGAAGTATCGCCCACTGGATGCGGTATTTGTTCCACAACGGCAGGTAAAATATTTGGCACATTCTTGCCAGTCTTCGCCGACACCAGAACCGCCGAAGAAGGGTCTAATTCGAATGAAGTATGCATTTGATCGAGAACTCTAGAAACGTCGGCGGACGGCATATCGATTTTGTTGACAACGGGAATTAAGGCGAGATCCTGCGCGAAAGCCAGATGGAAATTGGATACTGTTTGTGCCTGGATGCCCTGGCTTGCATCAACAAGCAGCAGAGCACCACCACAACTGGCGTAGGATCGCGTCACCTCGGCGCGAAAGTCCACATGCCCAGGTGTATCAACGAGATGTAGCAGATAATCCTCTTCTTTATAGTTGTATATCATGGTACAAGTCTGGGCCTTGACGGTGATCCCTCGCTCACGTTCCACATCGAGTTTATCCTAGCCAGTGAAAAGAAATTCGGTCAGCAATACTCTTTTAAGCTGGAAGAGCAGCGCAGCTGCACTGTCGGTCTCACCAATATCTGCTTATTAGCATCACTGGCAGAGATGGTGCCTGTGATTTCGAGCAAACGGTCACTAAGGGTACTCTTCCCGTGGTCGATATGGGCCACAATGCAGAAGTTGCGGTACCGCTCGATTGGTATAGAGAGAATTCGTTCTTCTAGAGCCTGCGCGGCACGAGATGGCGGCGCAGGCTTGGCGAGGTGGGCGGTGGCACAATGAAAAGGCTGGCTGCGAACCGGGTTCCATGATGAAGCCAGACTACGCGACCATGGAGCTTGCGTTGTCGTCAGCGTCGTCTGGGCCAGAGTGCAGCTGCGAGACTGAAGCGGCGGGGTCAAGCTGAACGTCGAGAGTGAAGACCAAGGCTGTCGCAGCTGGCGTGGAAAACTGACCAAACGGTCCCGCATAGCGCGCACGCTTGTCGCCCGGGATCCGCGCATCAAGTTGTTCTTGTCGGCATTGAATAGATTCAGACTGGAGGCTCAAATTGCGCGATTCCAGTTATGTCTTGTAGGTTCTGTGAAGCAACCGAATGTGATGCCGAGCCTGTTTCCCATGCCCGTCCTGGCGCAGAAATCGAAACCCCGACTACCTAGGTGTACAGTGTGCTTGAAGCTCGAGTGGGTCTCGGTGTGGAACTGGCCCCCGATTGGTCTTTCGGCAGAGGCTCGCCGAAACCAACTGACTCCCGAGTTCAGTATACTAGTACGGAGGTGGGTTTGTATGGAGTACACTGCCCGAAGACATACATACGCTGCTAAATTTTCTTCATACATGATTACGTATGTTTACCGTCAGAGTACATGCAGTGTTGGTCAAGCATGAAACTATCCGTAGTTGCCTTGGACGGTATCTCTGCGCACGCCACCGCATCTTTAGACATTCGTTAAGCCTAGGTGTTCATCACCATCATTTCAAGTATCGCTCGGTTGAGAGAGGAAATACCCCTCCCAGTGCCCACGCTTACCTCCTCTTGCTATTGACGTCGCCTTACAAATTGCAGTGTGACATTGGTCACCATAAGGTATCTCTTACAAACGCTCCAGCAAACGCTCAAATCATGCCGCCCTTACTCTCCCATATGATAATTCAGATTGCGACTCACATTTCAACGCCTCATGCGAGGACCCATTCGCTCCCTCTTTTGATAAACTTATCCAGCAACATGCTGAGGTCCGACAGTACGAACCGGCATATGAAAAACCCAAAGAATTCCGCGGCGTGTCGGGTACAAAGCTCCAGGCCAACTTGTGTCTTGTCCGCGTGTCTGAGTCCCGGATCCTCGACTTGACGAGCGATTTGGTCTAAGTCTGTTAGTTGACCCGTAACAACACATATCTGCGATTGAGCAGGTACGCATTTGAGAGGCCTTACCAATCGTCTGGGCGGCATCGAAGAGCCGTGCGAGTGATCCCATGTAGTTGGAATTTGGCCCAGTAAACTGGGCACTGGTTGGATCTCTTTTGGTCGGACGGCTAGTTGGATTCTCTGTCATTGGCAGGGTTTCCAGTACAGGTGACTCCTTGCCGCTGTCGGGTCCGGTACCCTTTGCGTTGTAGGAGCTATTCAACCCAGCCGCAGACCCCTTGGACCTTAATCTGCGCCACGAGAATGAGGACGACTTGCCCGACACGCTCGCTGAACGCGGTACGTTGATTGCCGCTTCAATTTCGACAGAGTTCGATGCATCCCTGAAAATCACGTTGGAGCTTTGCACCCCGACTTCTGTCCCCAGCTTTCTGGTCAAGCTGGCCTGAACCTGTTCCAGAATGACCTCTAAAGCCTGCATCTCCTCAAGCACGGCATCAGCATCGCAAGTGTCTACTCTGGCTAGCTTGAGAAGAGCGGCCGTGAGATAGTCGCATGTCGCTACTTTATCCTCCACGTTGCGGATTTTTACACCCTTCACCTTCCACACATCCCGCGGAACAAATAGCTTGTTGCTTAAATAACCTCCTCGGGGATGGGCGAGCGTTTGATACAAGCAGCGCATTAGCCAGAAGGGCCGCAACATGTAATCTGTTGGGCACGGTTCCAATGGTGCTGGTGCATCTACCTGAAGCGAATTTGGCGAGCCTGGACTTTGCGGGGAGTGCAAAGTATCGTCGAATAGGTATAAGCCACCAGCAGAGCCTGAGGTAAACTTGTCTCTGAAGGCTGCTGCCAAGGGGGTCGGCAGGGCAGGCATAGCCGGATGCCTGCCACTGATGCCAAAGGCATTGCTCATTGGTGTACCCGGTGACATGTCCGAAGCGTCCTCCAAATTCGACAGTGACATGTTTCGATTCTTCATGCTCCTCAAGCTTGAGGAAGAGAAGTTCTTTCTTAGTGTAGGCCGGAAGGATGGTGAGCCCGAATGACTATTGAAGTCTGCACTGTCTCGACTCCGATGCCCGGGTGGAGGAGTTGGGGGTACCGGTTGTGTTGGGCTGATCCCCTCAGGAGGGGAGTATGGTCTGCGCATGCCTCCATTAAAGTCGTTGGAAATAATGGAGTCTCGACGATCGAAGTCAACTCCTTGATCATTGTCGATTGATTGGGCAACGCTGTAACGTCTCCCGGGGTCTCCGTATTTCGAAAGTTTGCTAGTCTCAATCTTGAGCTGCTTCGGGTTTTGCCCTGACATTCTCCTGCTCCTCACGGTCTGGCCGGGCCCAGGCACTGGTCCTGAGAAAGATGTTTTAGAGGGTAACTCGGGTAGAGACTGCACCGGAGGCGGTGCAGCTGGGCTTCCGGCCCTAGGGAAGTTCGAAGAGGGAAAGACATCCGTCGGTGACGAGGAGACATCATCGCCGTTTGTGCCGTGTGTCCCAGGCATCTGCCACGTTTGCTGGGCATCACTGGAGCCGGAGTGCCTGGCTGCGGATGATCGAGGTGCTTGGTTGAAGGAAAAGTCGTCAATAGAATATCCTCGAGTCATTTCCTCCAAAATGCGTTCCTCCTCGTCCGATGATCCGTCGTCGTAGAAATCTTCATGTATCAAATCCCCGTCAGGTTTTTGCTGCCCTTGCACTCTTCGCTCTCTTTCGCTTTCTTGCTCGTAGACTTCTCTTTCCGTCTGACGAACGCGTTCTTTGGCCAACTCAACCTTACGCAGTGCCTTCGCTACGACCTGATCATCTGACGCATATGCTTCGGTGTCAGATAGATCCATCGGCTCATAACCGTCGTCGTACGCTGCTTCGACCGCCGCATCTAATGCTGCATCGAATTCAGCCTCGGTAGCGCCACTAGGAGCGCGTATGTGCTTTCGCCGCACATTCATAGAGGATGATCGGGAGTGAACAGACGAAGTTGAGCCACCGGACTCGTCAATCGGATCCAACCAGGAATTGGATTCGCGGCTCGAATCTCGCACATGTTTCGGGGCTTGTCCAGTTCGCGTTGCGGAAAGGGAGAAATCCGACCTGACGGGTCCATCAGGAGAACCCCGCCCATCTAACTCCGGAGAAGCTGGTCGGCGAGGTGAGAGTGGCGGTGGCATGGTAGCATCTTCCGTGGGTATTTGGAAGATAAGATGTTCGTCCGAGTTTCGTTCTCGAAGCGGCGAGCGAGAGAAGGAAGACTGCAGCGTATATTGCTCTGGTGTCCTCGATAAGCCGCTCCTTGCTGGTTCAGCCAAGCCCTGCATTCGTGATATAGGCAACCCAGGCCCCGCGTAGCTAGGTGAATTTCGACCTCCATCTTTGAGTATCCTGGCAAGAGCCGCTGTTTCGAGACCGCCTGGTTCCTCCAGGTAGTCCACATCGTCGTCGTCGTTAAACTGGAGGGTCGGGTTGAGTCGCAGACCTAAGCTCTCGGGTCTAGCAGGAAGAGCCTTCCCATCCGGTACCTGGATAGGAGCCATCTGATCCAGCTCCTCGATTCGACTTGTATACGTGCGGCGCTGACCTAGTTTAGCTCCGGACTGTCACGCCATTCCAAGTCGAGATACTCACAATCGCCTCGAGCTTTCTCTTGTCTTCCTCCGTGGAGGTTCTCGCCAATACTTGGTGCAGTAGTTCGCATGCTTCGGCATAAGCTTGGCGTGCACCTTCGAAATTCTGCGCATTGTCTAACTGAACTGCAGTGTTTGCTTTTTGTAGGGCTCGGGAAAGCATAGCTTTTTGAGAGGGCGGTTTATTGCCTCTTTCTCGACCTTTTGACGATGCAGTGGTGTCCGTACTCCCCTTAGCCGCTTGGGAACGGTTACGGGAATGGCCCCTTGTATCGTAGGCCCCTCCATTGCGATCGGCTGGCATCATTGCACGAAGCGGCTGCTGTGAACCTGGTTCCGCTGATCCTCTCCGGTCTGGGCTTGAGAATGCATCCCAGGGTCGATTTTGTTCCGCAATATGGCCGCTTCTGGGCGCTCTGGGTGCGCCCAACGGTACACTTGGGCCGTTCGCTGCACCTGCCGGCTCAGTTGAAAGGGATGAATCTAATGGGTAAGGCGCGAACACGGTAGACAGGCCTTCAACTCGAGATGATCCAGGAGGTGAGTAGCCACGCAACTTGCTGGCACTGCCGACCGGTTGGGAAGCTTCACTAGAATTCGACCGCCGTCTAGTTCTAAGGGGTCTTTGAGGCGACGAATTTGCAACAAACGCAGCCGCATCCACACTCAAGCGGCGCGCATAGAAATTAGAAGGGCGATGGTTCAGGCCAGATGCTCGACTCGATGACGTTGAGGTAGACCAGCGATTCAAATTTTTGAACCCCTCGGCTGACAAGCCGGCGCTGCTTGATCGCGAATGAGAGGTCGTCGGTCGCAGGAACAAGGAGTCGGAGTCGGCGGCAGCGTTGTTATTCAAGGCATCGAACTGAGCCGTCAGGGGCTGTGATGGGGCAATTTGCGGTGGCGGAAGAAGCGACGAGGTCCTGGGAAGAGGTGAGGGAGTTCTTCGCGGAAAGGACGTGCCGGTGTCGAGACGAGAACCAAGCGAAGATGAGACCGGACTTTGCTGTCGGTCGGAGCGTGTGCCGGTCGGCGTCGGGTAGCGAGGGGCCAGGTGACTCGTTGACGTTGGAAAAGACCTGGAAAGTCTGTGCTGTTTCTGGTACAGATGCGACTGCTGCTGCTGCTGCTGCGGCTGCCTCGACGGCCCTGCGCTTGAGAAGGAGGTTGTGCTTCCAGTATGAGATGAGGGCATCCTGTGCGCCTTCACTTGATTGCTAAGGTCTAGCTATAGACGTCAACCTAATCACTTGAATCAGTCCGCTGCTACATCCGCCGCATTAGAAAGGTTGCAGGTGCTATGCTATGAAAGTCTGGTTAGAGGGTAGGACTACTAAGTTTTACTTATTACATATTTAATATTTTACTTATGCTATATAATATTAAAATATATTAGTAGTTTACTTAATCTATATAAGTATGTATTAAAGTTTACTTTATACTTATTAAATAAATAGCGTCTTAAGAGGTGAATTTTAAAGGAATTAAAAGCGTTAATTTCTAGGAAAAAGAGAAGGGAAATTCTAGCTCTTTAAATACGTTTTAGGAAGCAGATTTCCCTACTTTTAATCTATTTTACTAAGCTAGTTAGTAAGCTAAACTATAATTATTAATAGTAATTATACTAAAAATAGATTATTAGATCTTTCTAATTATTATTGAAAGTTAGTAATATATTATTTTTAGTATAATTAGAGTTTTATAAAAACCTTAAATATAGATTTAAATATAATATTTATTATTTATTAAATAATAATAATATATTACTTTATTAAAGCTTATAAAATATATAATATTATATTTTATAAACTTAAAGGTTATTAATAGAGGCTAAGAGAACTAGTTTAATTTATATAGTTAATATTAGTTAAATTTTATAATATAAGGCTAGTAGCTCTTCTTATAGAGTATATTTAAATAAAGTTCTCTTTAATAAAGAAAAATACTTATATAAATATACTTTTTAATTTATTTAATAATAAAAAAGTAATATTAAAAACAAAGCTTTTAATAAGAAATATAAAGCTTTTTAAAAAGCTTTTATTAGGAATAAATACATTACTATTAAAAATATTAATAAGTTAAAAAAATAAAGATATATATTTATAAATATATATTATAATAAGGTAAGAGAGAAGACTTATTAATTATACTAAATACTCTACTCTAAGTAGAAAACCCTTAAAAATACTTAAATACTTATATATTAATTTTTTAGATAACTATAAGAGATATAAAAATAAATATATAAATATAAACTTGACTAACTTATATTTTATTTATATTTTTTACTCTTTTATACTTTAAATTATATAATCTCTTAAGAGAAAATAAATTACTAAAAAGAAGTTTAGTAGTATTATTCTTATAATATCTTACTCTATTCTTATTTTGAATAATTAAAGAAATATAGTAAAGATTAAGTAAAAAAATAAAAGTAAAACTAATTAAAGCTAGAGGAGTTTAAAATATTTATTTTTATTTAATTTTTAAAAAGTAAGAATTAATAAAAAAGATTTATAAACTAAACTTAAAAATCTTAAAAGTTTTTCTAAGAAAGTAATTACTAAAGTTATTAAGACAAAATAAGAAATTATATAAAATAAATATATTTCTTATTTATTTACTTTATTTTATTTATTATAAACTAACTAAGCTTCTATTTATTTATATTAGTAGTTTAGTTAACCTATATAAGTAAGTATTATAGTTTACTCTATACTTTTTTTTTTATAATACTAAAACTTAATAGTAGCACTTTAACTTATACTTAATCTTAATAAAGTAAATAAATAAATCTTAGTATAACTAGTTATTAATATTTAGTTTAACTTATCCTTAATAGAAGAGAGTAAGTAAGTAAGTAGTAAAATAGTAAAATATATTAGTAAGAGTGTTATTTATAATACTATTATTTATAAATATATTATTTATAATATTATAAAGGTATTATTCTATAATATAGAATACTAATAGTATTTATAGCTAGAGCTTAGTAATAGCTTAAACTTATACTTAAGGGTATAAACTTAATAGTGTGATTTTTTATATAGCTAAAAGGGTTTTTATAGCTATAATATAAGAACTTAACTATTTAAATAAAGCTTTAAGCTTATTTTTTATATCCTTTTATATATATAATAACTATAATATCTTTCCCCCTTATTATACTTATATATAAGCTAAATAAAGCTATTTTAAATAACTTAATATATAAAATTAAAGTAAATAAAATTAAAAGCTTTAAGTATAATAACTTTCTATATATTAATAAAAAAACTTTACTTAAATTTACTTTAAAATACTTACTTAAAATAGCTAATAAATATAATATATTAGAGTTATATAACTTTAAGATTAATATAGATATAGTTAAGGTTACTAATAATAATTTTAATACTTATAAATACTTTATAAGCTTCTTTAAAATAGCTAAAGTAGCTTAAGTAGAATATTAATAAGTTAGGAAAAGTAAATATAGTAAGAGTATAGCTAATAGTAGTAGGGCTCTTTATTAAGACTACGTAGTAAAGTAGAAGATATTATCTAAATAGTGTGACAGTATAGAGGCCTTAAAGCCTTTACGCTTAGTAGAGCTTATAATATAGACGTCTAAATAGTAGAGGAGAGGAGATAGAGGCAGCTAGAGGAAGATAGTTGAGGCTTATTATAATAGTTAAAGTCCTAAAGGATAGTTATGTAACCTAAAGGTTATTAGTAGAGGGTGAGGGGATTAGTTTAGCTTTTGCAGTTAATACTAGTTAAATTCTATAATATAAGGCTAGTAGCCTTTCTATTTATTTATATAAGCTTTTCCTCTTTAAATAATACTTAATACTTATAAAAATACTTATTTAGCTTTTTATTTTTAAATTAGAATTATTAAAAATTCTAAAAACTCTACTTCTTTTTATATATTTCTTAAGTCTTTTATATACTAAAAAGAGAAAGACTTAGGCCTCTAGCTATTTACTATGATTTTTACCTACTTAGAGTAATAGACCTCTTAACTCTATATCTCCTAATAATATATATAGCTTTTAGTTATATAATTATAATCTCTAATTATCTCTTCTAACTTTAGCTACACTTATATATATATATAACTTCACTATTTTTAACTTCACTTTAGTAATAATATAGTTTATAATTACTTAATTATTTAATAACGAACTACTAAACTATTAACTTATTTTCTTTTTTATATATTACTTATACTACTAATACCATCCTTATTACTACTTTACTATCTACTATAGTAGCTTCTTTAGAAGTAAATTATTACTATTATTATAATTTTTTTATTTAATTAAGCTAGCTAATACTTTTATAGCTATATTATTATTAGTAATATTCTCTCTATATAATTAGTATAAAGTATACTTATTAATCTCTACTAAATTTATACCTAAACTTAAGCTATATCTACTTTAGTATTATAGAGGGTTTATATAAAAAAGAGCTACTTCTTAAAATAACTAGAGATATATATAGCTTCTACTTTAAAGTTATTAAAAATATTTATTACTTTAATTATAGTATAGAGAAAGTCCTTTTTAGAAGTATTCTTAAAAGCTCTATTTAATACTACTATAATAAAGCGCTCCTAATTAGAATTAAAGTATTTACTAAAGTTAAAAGCTTTATTTAGTATATAGATATTATATTAATATATAGTAATATCTTTAGCTATTTTCTTAAAAAAAGGCGTACTTAGTATAGAGTTAGTATTCTTATATTTCTTATATAATATAAATATTATAAAGGATTTATTATAAGTTATAAGGATAAGTTATTAATATAGGTTTAAAAGTAAGGAAAAAGAAGAGAGAAAGGTATAAAGCTTTATATATAGTAGTAAAGCTTTTTATATTTCTAGCTATAAGAACTTATTATAATAACCTCTTTAGTTAAAGAGTTATTTCTATTTAGTAATATTTACTTTACTAGAAGGTTTAGTAAAACTATTATTAGCTAAACTATAAGAGCTCTAATAACCTCTTTAGCCTTAATATAATTAGCTTTATTATATATAGTACTACTAGCTTTACGCTATATATATAAAAGAGTATATAATCGAAGTAATATTATTAGGGGTAGGAGTATTATATAATATAGCAAAAGGGGGAAACTTTTCGTTTTATTAGTTATTATAATAAAATT